TGATTATACACACAACTATAAACACGAAATGGGGCCAGGAATCTCACCGACAAATAGCAGGAAAACACCTACAACAAGACAGATCGCGGACAAAGGGAAAGGTAAGAGAGATGCAGAGAGGGCGGAGAAGGGAAAAATGGCCAGGGCAGAAGACAAAGAAAGACGAGTAGTAATGAGCAAGAAAATGGAAACAGAGAAAGCCATTGGAAAACTAGACAACAGTGTCTTTGAGGCTTTTGAACCAGCACACAGATCATCAGTTGACCTGAGTAAGGAGGCAATATGCAAGGGAGGGCCTGGGCACAAATGTGGTCTTCCAGTTGGCTACGAAGATGAGGGAGTGGAATGTGACCTTTGTCATCGTTGGTTCCACGCAGCATGTCAGGAGATACATACGGAAGCATACAAAGCACTCCAGGAACACCCTGACACACTGGCATGGATGTGCAAAGCCTGCAGAAACGAGTTAAAGAACAGGAAGTATCCACACTCAGAAACTGAGTACAGCAAGTTGGAAGCCAAAATCGATCAGTTGGCAGAGGCGCTAAAAGACCAAACAAGAATAATAAGGAAGTCAGCAATCGAAAATGAACAAGCCATTAGAGAAGTAGGAGAGTTTCAAGGGCGCAATATTTCCACATTGCAAGAGCAGAACGAAGCAATGATACAGTGTGTAGAGGAAATGAAGAGCAGGGAAACGGAGAAGAAGACGGAGATCAGGAAGACGTATGCAGATGTCACAAAAGTGGTAGAAGAAATAAAAGAACAACAAGAAGTCATTAAGGGTAACTCTGAAGGTATCAAAAGAGTGATACAGAACAAGGAGTTGGAAGAAAGGGCAACAAATGTGCTGATACACAATCTCCCAGAGAGTAAAGCAGAGAAAGGAGAAGACAAAAAACAGGAAGACATAGTGAAGTTCAAAGAAATAGCAGATGCTCTGGGAGTGCGAGACTTTGAAATTCAGAAGATTGTCAGATTGAGGCAAAAACCTACAACGGAGAAAGAAGATGAAAGAAACGCAAATCAGAACCAGAAAACGAAACCAAGAATACTCCTGCTGAAGCTGAGATCAAAGGAGCACGTGGAGCTTCTGTACAAAAGGAGGTTTGATCTCAAGAGCAAAGGCATAGAAAATACCTACATTACAAGGGACCTACCTCCCGAAGAAAGGGAGAAGCAGAGAAGACTGAGAGAGGAGTGGCTCAAGAAAGGGCGAGAAACCCATGTCATTTCTCGGGGGAGGGTTGTCGAAAGGAAGGGAAACAAAGTAACACAGTAAGAAAGAAAGAAAGCAAGGATGGAAGGTACAGGAAACAAACAACAAACAAGGGGTCGAAGACCGACAACCAAGAAAGTAGAAAGGTTTACAAATTGAATCTCATTAACATACAAGGATTAACAAAGCAAAAGCTGGCAGAACTAGAAGAATTGTTAGCCTACAGTTGTGACATCTTATGTATTACTGAGACCCACCAGAGATATGATAAACTTGAGATTGACAAGAACTTGATCAAGATAGAGAGCATGAGAAAACAAAAGGACAAGAAAGGAGGAGGGCTCATGTTTTTGTATAAACAAAACAGTGGTGTCACTTTAAGTAAAGCCCCTTCAGAGAACGAAGATGTTTTGGAAGTGAGGGGAAGTATATTGAACAAACAGGTTAGGATAATACTTGTTTACATGTCAGTTGAAACAAAACCAGAAGACAAAACACGAAATGAGAAAATCAAACAAGAGCTTGAAGAGAAGCTAGAAGAAAGTCCAGACATGGCAACAATGTTGTTGGGGGATTTTAATGGACATGTAGGGTTCCTAGGAAGCCAAAAAGAGAATAGGAACGGAAAATTTGTCATTGATGTGATAAACAAAAACAATATGATTTTACTGAATGGTGATGACATATGTGAAGGCTTGTATACATGGGGAAGTAAAGAATACAGAAGTGTTATTGACTATGTGCTGGTCAACAGTAAGATGCATCAGTCTATCCTTAAGATGAAAATTGATGAAAGTCAAGAACTACTAGATCTATCAGATCACAACATGATCACAGTGTTTTTCAAAGATGAAAAGTCACTGAGTCTCAATAAAGCTAAATGGAAAGATGAATACTTCTTTAAGACAGACCAAGAATCATTGTCGGGCTTCGTGCAAGAGGTACTACAGAGAATAGAAGCTGATAACATATGCCTAATGGAAGATCTCAATGTGATAATGAAGGACGTGGCAGAGAAATTGCTTACAAGAAGGTACAGAAGAAAAACTGACAGAAAGAATGAAAAAATCAAAGAAAAACCATGGATGACCGAAGAAATACGGAAACAAATCAAGCAAAGGAAAGCCTTCAACAGACTCAGGAGAAATGCAAAGTCAGAAGAAGAAAAGAGCAGATTATATGAAAAATATTATGAGCAGAAACGACTGACAAAGCTACTCATCAAGGAAGAAATAGCAAAGCATGAAAAGAAAGTGACTGACGAAATACGTTATAGTAGCTACAAAAGCAAGGCACTTTGGGAGAATATCAACAAACTTAAAGGAAAGCAAAAGGATAACAGTCCAGTTCGCCTATTCACAGAAGCTGGACAAATGCTGCAAGGAGAAGAAGAAAAGGAAAACTTAGCAAGTGTCTGGAAGAAAATCTATCAAAGACATGAAAACAAGTTAGAAGAAGTGTGGAACGATAGGGCGAAGCTAACCTATACTGCAGATCTGGAGAAAGAGAACCAGGACCAGATACAAATAAAAGGATATAGTTTCCCAATCACACTGAGAGAACATATGGATATGGCCATGAACAGTAGGAAGAGGATGAAGAAGATGGAAGATATACAAATAACTGAGGAAGAAGTCACCAAATGTATAGGCAGGCTTAAGAACAAGTCAGCGGCAGGACCAGATGAACTCAAGCCAGAACTATACAAAGCTTTGATAAAAAATGACAAATGCTTGAAGATACTGACAGGCTGCTACCAAGAAGTCCTCGAGAGAAGTGACACGCCATCAGAATGGAAGATATCAAGGACGAAAATGATACCAAAGACGTCTAAGCCAACTGCCAAAGACTTGAGACCAATTGCTTTAACGAATGTGTCATATAAGATCTACATGTCAATTCTAAAACAGCGACTAGAAGATCATCTAGAAAGCGCAGAGCAAAAGTTAGAGACACAAGCAGGGTTTACGAGAGGAGGAAGGATAGAGGACAACCTTTTCCTATTACAGTACTGTGTGGAAGAAAGCTTTAAAATGAAGGCACCTCTGATTGTTACTTCAATTGATTACAGCAAGGCGTTTGATTCCATCGATAGAGCTAGGATGGTAGAGGTGCTCATGAAATACAAGATTCACCCCAAAATGATTGATGCTGTGGCAGCCACATACCAAGGAGACAGAACCTGGATTGAACTAAATGAGAACATTAAGTTAGAGATTTTAGTAACAAGTGGTATACGGCAAGGGTGTACAGGATCAACTGCCTTCTTCAAGCTCATGACTTATATCATCACAAAAGTAATGGAGGCAACAGAAGCAGGGTTCAGAAGCTGCAAATTTACGCTGCCAATCCTATTCTTTGCTGACGACGGGCTCCTACTGAACCATTCTATTGAAGAAACAGAGACTAGCATCAGAAGACTGACAGCAATTAGCAAGGAGTGTGGACTAGACATAAACAAGAATAAGAGCAACATTATCACATTTAATCTGAAAGAACAGCACAGAAGCATAGAAGATATTGAAGTAAAAGAAAACATAAAATACTTAGGTCTGAAAGTAACAAATACAAGGGATGTGTTCAGAGGGCAGAAAAGAATCATGATTGAAAAGGCACAAAGAATGGCAAACATGACCTATTCAGTAATTTCAAAATCATGCAACAGACTGCTGATTGGTAAGACCTACTGGAAATCCCTAGCACTGCCATCAATACTGTACGGCTCCAGTGTCATGACAGTCACAGAGGAAGAGACCAAGAAGCTGCAAGTAATCGAAAATGGTGTCTACAGACAGATCTTGGGGGCTCCAAAATATGCACCAAATGCTGCATTGAGAGGAGAAATTGGAGCATCTCTGATGACAACAAGGATTAAAACTGGAAGACTTCAGTACATGAGAAGCATATTGCAAGGAAAAAATCAACTACTCAAAGAGGTGTTAACAGAAATGATGGACGAGGGCAAGAACAAATGGATAAAGGTAACCTATTCCATTATTAAGGAAGTCGGACTCAAAGTAAAGGATTTGTATCAGATAAGCAAACAAGACCTTAAAACACACATGCAAAAATGGGATGGAAAGAAATGGAAGGAGGAATTGTTAACTAAAACTACTCTGTCCCTGTATATTGTCTGGAAAAAGGAGATGAAGGAAGTAACGTTTATTGACAACCAGCAAGCATCAACAATATTTTTCCAGGCAAGAGCTAACTGTCTTCCTCTAAATGAGCGCAAGAGATACAAGAAAGAGGACACAAGATGTATGATGTGCAATGCAGAAAATGAAGACCTCGCCCACTTTATATTGAATTGCCCAGCCTACGAAGAAGAAAGAAAAGAATCAATGCATCTTCAGAAACCCTATGCAAAGGATATTTTAGGGATATTTCTGTTTGAGGAGGAAGATATCGAAGAAAAGAAAGAAGTATTGCTTAAGCTGTGGAAGAAAAGAAGACTGCTGGAAATAAAACAAAGTTCTCCATCCTAGTTGACCTTCATCCTCCCAACACCCAATCCTGTCCCCTAGTGAGAATCCTAGCCACACAAACCAACCATAACAATGCAACCCATCGATCAAAGTAAAAGTTAAAGATTAAGAAATCAAGGAGGTGCCGATACAAAGGCTAAACCTCCGAAAACCATCGCATCGCATCGCATCGCAGCTGATTTCCTCGCGAAAATGTGCGAAAATGTTCCCGTGGCTCCTCTGAAACGGCTCTCCTCCAAGCTCATCCAACCTCATCCGAGATTTTTTGGGAGGAGCGACGGGAACAGACCCGTAGCCTCAGTGCTATGTTCAGCATGGTACTGACTTGACGTAATAGGTCACCTCCAATTGGTGGAGCGCGCGTACACCACGCCATCCACCAATTAAAGTCACGGTTGTTTGCAGAATTGGCCTTGAGAATAACAGGTGAACACGAAGCTGTGCGCTAGGTTTGTGACAGCCGCGGGTATTATGGAATTTCAAAATAGAGCATTTTTTGTTCACTTTTTGTTTCAATGATATACAGCGATTCTGTATTTCTGTCCTTATGAATTATTATGGGAAAAATCACACAATTTTTAAAGCAAATTTAGTAAAAGTGAAGAAATCTCATTCATTTTCACAGCAAATCTTTGATACTCTATTTTAACAATCTCTACTAGAGACAACTATGGCTCGCTTTAGACGATACTTCATGCTTTCTTCGAGTTGGCTTCGAGGAGCACCCGGCGCGTGTGTGGTGGTAAATGCCAAGGGTAGGTGTTGATTCGTTGTATTTATTGCCTGTACACCCAACCATGGTGTTTTGAACTGGAAAAACAGTTTAGTAGCTTGTGCTGAGACAAGCATAAATTAGGAGCTTTTTATGATGACCACCCTAGGCGAACCGCGAAGATATTCCATTTTCCAATCTGAAATGCTAAGTTCCCTCCTTTTACATCATTTAAAACTGAAGGAATTCACAAAAAATGAAAATGAGGAACATTTTTTAGTCAAAAAGTGAGACTTCACATTGGTATTTATGTACTTTTCGCAAGATACCTACTTTAACTTTTAAGACTTCCTGATTTCATTTCTTATACCTATTCCTTCTGCAAACCAGTTAAAAAGCACCAGTACGCCATTTGCCATTATGGCCAACTCCCACACCTCCAACCAGAACTGCATGACAAAAGACAGTGTGCAAGCTAGGTACCCCTAGTCTTGCCCAGCGTTGAATGGATAAAACAAGGTTCAGTGAATCAGAATGTGTAAGTTTATTACAGATGACTTAAAGCTGTAAGGAAAGTGATGTCAAAATACTCATAGCATGATAGTGAAGCAGTGTAGTCCCGAAGGCAACGCACAGAAATTACAAGCAATGTTAAATATTATAGGTTCAAATATTTATAGGTTCAGTGGTTTGGTAAGTATGTATCTAGCTTCAGGCCCCTGAAGCCTGATGCATAACCACTTCACTTAAAGGGACCCTCCCACCTTCAAAAATGTTAATGAATTGGCATGAAATAGATGTCCCTTGGTTCAGAAAGAGCGAAAACGAATATCTACCAAATTTCACCGAAAAATATTCACTGGTTTTCAAGATATTAGGCTTTTACTTTTGTTTACTTTTTGGGATCTCCCCTGTTACTAGCGGCTTTATTTGGAAGCAATAATTTGGCAGCCTTAAAGTGCGGCAGACGTTGCGCGCAAAGCAGGGTATACCACCACGTGTTAACGATGGTTTTAGTCTAAGATTTAAAAATCGTTAGATCTCCGCTGACGTCACAAATTCTAAGGGGGCATTCCAATGCATTAGCCCCTTAGAATCCGAAAACTGCAAGTTTGAAATTCCATATCTTCGAATTAAAGCATTTTTCGATGTTGTGAGTGCCCAAACCGGTATTTGCAGGCCATGGCCACCAATTTGGCTATCTCAACTCAAAACTAATGTTAAGGTGGGAGTGTCCCTTTAAAAATATTTGACTTACCCACCATTGCTTGCAATCTATTCCTGAGAGTTTGACGAGCAAACTGCTGATGTTTGGACGCTGGCGAGGGTAAACTCGTCAAACATCAGCATGCAGCTCGTCACGGGGAGTCTAATGGTGGTCTTTGTTTTGCGCTACGACGTCTAGAATTGCTAAAAATTGAGTTTGAAAATTTGATGTCATCAATTTTGAACAGTTTTTTTGCTATAACTTGGCCAAAAAAAGAGCTATCGATCTCAAATTTGGTATGTAGATAGAAGGCGGTAGGGACTATCACATATCTTCCGGTTTTTCGAAATTCAAAAAACTTTTTGGATTTTTCGGCTATTATATTCAAAAGATCTATTTTTTATTTTTGGGGGTCAAGATCAAAAAATTTCAAATATCCGAGATAGCAGTTTTGTAGCCCTGTCAATTCTACACCTTTTATGTCGGAAACATTTTTCTGTATCTCTAAAGTTGTAGGCCTGACAGCTCTTCCCGCGAAACCATTTTTTGGGTCGAAAATGGCAGAAATGATGTCACTCTGACGTCATTAGCGGCCAACCTATCATAGCCTTTGGAAATTTTTGGTCACAATGTGCAATAGCTATTCACGGGAGGGTACTGAAAGTTTGGTGACGATCAGCGCAGCGGTTCTGGAGATATATCGAAAAAACTAAAGGGGGACAAAAAATGCCCCCCCCCCCTACGGCCTGGAAGGTTATGGTGTTTTTATCGCGATGGTATCGGTTGAGTTGTTGAGCTGTAATATGACTGCAGTAGGCTAGGGCGCACACAAGGGAAGAGGGCACACGTGCCCGTGGGCAGCCCCCCCCCCCCCTCCATTCGAATTAGGGGCTATTAGAGGCGGCTGAAGCCGAAGGCCGCGGGTCATCAAATAGGCCCCTAACTAATCTTTAGACCGCCTGCAGATGAGTTGAAGTGGTGATTGAAAAGACCAGCGGGGCCATCTCGGACCCCAGCAGGCCCATTTGAGTCCAAGTAGGGCAACTTCTTTCGGCTGGGACCTGAGGGGTCCACTTTGCGGGTCGTGCCACCCATTCAAAAATCGTGTGTGCGGCGTGCGCGCCTGGCAATAGGATAGGCGAAAAGGTGTAAACATCTCAAGGTCATCTGAGGTCACCATATTCGAAAAAAGCGTGTAAAATCACTTTTTGGTATGCGAATGATGGCTGATTTCGTGTCGATCGGCGCTGTAGTTTTCGAGTTTCCGAGGTAGGATCGTTGCGAGGTTGGCTAAGGAATAGTTTTGTGGCTGGCTAATATGGCAGACATATGGTAGCACTTCTCATAGGCTCAAAATTGGTGTGAAGAATCAACTAAGTATTGAAATGCAGTACCCATTCCCAAAGCCCTCCTATTGTTGTTTTTACTGCAAAACTTCCACATCTGTGAGAAGTCGAGGGGTCCCATCCACCACTCATCGGCCTGCAAATTTGATGCCTTGCTTTGTTTGTGTTGTTAGAGCCATCGTCAGGGTTCGTGTAAATTCCATTCCAAGGCAAATGCAGCTCCGATGATCTCATGATAGTGATTTCAGAATCTTGACCTCGGACACCTCACTCTCATAGGCACCTCTTTCACCTCGGACACCTCTTTCACCTAGGCAGAAATAATCAGATAAGTAAAAGTTCATCATCCCGTTTTTCAGCTAACTGTCCTGACCTCGGACCTTTGCTTGCAGTGTAGCGCGCTGAGCGGACCCCATCTCGCCAGTGCCAGGCCCCGCAGCAGTCATGTCGTGGCTGTTTGGGATGAACAAGAAGCAGGAGGTGCCGATGTTCCCGTCGCCGCCGTCCGATGGCGGACAGGACGGCGGTGGTCAGGGCGGCCAGCCGGCCGAGCCCGCCGGCCGACCGCCGGCCTCCACCTCTATGGAGGCCTACCGGTTCGACTCGTCTGCCCTGGAGCGCGCCGCGCAGGCCGCCAAAGACCTCGAGAAGTCGGGTGAGTGCGGGACTGTGTCGAGACGCTGCAGGTACCTGAGAGAGTGACTTTTGCCAGCTGGCCTGACAGAGTTGCTGAAAGTTTGACTAGCCAAGTAGTCCCAAATGGTCACGGAGAGTTTGAGCGTCGATTGTGACGGATGACTTAAGTTTGTAGGAAGTTTTGAATAGAACTGAACTTGATTAAAGATGAAAATTTATTGAATGGTAAACATTTGGCTGCATGATGCTGCAACGGCGTTCCAGCTTTACCCCGGCCATGAGGGAAGGAGTTTAAACTCATCCCCCTGGCTTTTTCGCAAAGTGACCGCTGTTTTTGTCGTATCCTTTTGCTAAAACATTCGTCCGAAACAATCAACACGTCTTTTTAAAATTAGAGAGTTCACACTTCATCAGATGACTACGTCATGACCTTATCTCATGAATAAATGTAAACGTTCGCTTTAGCTACACAAACTGAAGAAAATAAGTCTAGCGATTGATATGAATAATAGGATGCATATATCTGAGATTCCCAATGTTGGTGAGTGGTGACCCAAAATCGAGGACAATTTTGTGACTTTTTCCTCAGAAATTTAGTGAGAATGTTTTAAATGGACGTGTTGACGAACCCACAGCCCAAACCGAGCAAAGCTTTTACGCAGTTTCTGACAGAAAAAAATCGTGTTTTCTTACGGGATCATTTGGAAGCCAGAGTACCGCATAGTCGGACGCAGTCCTTCCTATTCGCTGACTTGACGTTGACAGTATCTTGCCTTCGGCTGCTCCCACCAACTGCAAATAATCCCAGTCAGAAGTCTCCATATATCGAGCGCCGAAGTAACTATGCAAATAATCCCAGTCAGAAGTCTCCATATATCGAGCGCCGAAGTAACTACAGTCGACCCTTTGCCCTCACAAACAGGATTCAGACGCACTACCAAAGGCTCGAAAACATTGTTAATTTGGTTTTAAAACCGCATTGGAAAACCGCATTCCTGACCCATCGTGTAGTTTTGATAGGCATGTTCGAGGGATGAAATCATCTTTGGATGTGTTCATCTCAGCATTCATTTCAATCGACTGATATGCAGCATGACATTTTCCAATCAGATCGTGCCTTGACGAGAGAAAAGCAATACTGGTAAAAGCGATGTCATGCAATGTTTGAATGATCAAAAACTATTGTAGTTCCGAAGAAGAAAAAAAAACATTAAATTTAATTTTTTTTTATAAATTTAGTCCGAACCTTTTGATAGGAAGGATTCACAAGGACAGAGCCACTGCTAAGCAAAGCTTGTTGCGGTGACCCCGCCCTCTACCCTCCGATCGCGCAATTCCAGTTCTATGGCAAAATTTAGAGTCCCAAAGTTTGCGCACATAGCCGCGGACGGCCGGTCCCCTCACTGACTTCGCCTGGCTACGGCCTGCCACCAACCGCAACCACGCCTGTCAGGAGGCCCATAAATGTCGAGCGCCCGTCGCGCTTCGAACCCGGACTGTTATAACCGGGAACGCGTGCTCTCACCACGCGGAGTCCAACGCTCTACCAACTGAGCTACGGGACCGGCTACGGGACATTGCGACTGTCTTTGCCCTGGAAGCCAAACCCTTCACGTAAGATCAAATCCATGGACCATACCTACCTTGTGAAAGGGAACTTTCGATAAGAACCATTGATTGCTATTCTAGTGAGTTTTTTATGGCCTTTGGTGACTCTGACCGGACCAAAAGATGACAGTGGTACTCACTGGACGACTTTTGACGACCTTTGAAACGTCGCTTTCCGCTCACCAGCCCGCGCAGGCACGTGGCCCAGTAATCAATTTCGATTATGTGTTTTCACCCCCCCCCCCCCTCCCCCACGTTGACGTCCCCCGCTTTCCAGTTTGGTGACAGCAACAAGCAAAAGCTTTTATTTGCTTGAAATAGGCATGAAGTTCAGATATGAGAAGAAGGCTCTACATTGATAAAAGCATGTTTTCTGCATTGTAGATGTTGATTGTCAAGATATATTTGTGCATTGATTATCAATCAGCCATCAGTCCATTATGGCTTATCTTTGCTTGTTAAAGTGTTACAACGTCTAGAATTTCTGTTATCTACCTGTTTATCTCTAAATTTCATATGGATTTTCCACAAGTTTGAATAGTTTTAAAGACAATGTCATACTCATAACATGTATTTCATAATAGCTAGGCGATACAATTATCGATGTAATACATTTTGCAAACTCCTAGTTGCTATGCTATGATTTGAGTCATGTAGTGCAGTCACGCAAAGAAAAACTGAAATCCCCTAGGCTTTTTACAAGCACAGTGTCAAGTCCAAAGGCAAATTTTGTTCACAAGGAGCTAGTTCTGTCACATCTTCTTGGGTATTTTGTGGTGGATTTACATTTAGTACCTAAGCAGTTTTCTTGATTCAGGCGATGTCAGGGAACTCGCTGAACATAAATAAGAACCTGTGCATGATATACTTTGCTTGTCAGGCACACTTTGCAACACTTGTCTACACAACACATCCACAGCTGATGATCACGAACTGGAACACCATTTATCAATACCTTGTGTGCTTGCTTGCACTACATACCATCAAAAGTATTTGCAAGAGTAACACCCTGGAAAGCAACTTGCCACATTCTCACCCCTCTCCAGGAAGCAGTATCATTTGACAGCCTGCGGCATGTAAAATAATGCAACCAGTGTTTTAGGCTCTGATGCTGACACAAGCGCCATCATCACTAGCTTATGCCTGCCGAAGACGGGCCAGTCTCTGAGTGAGTTCATCTTGTTCAGCTGAAGCAGCTGTGGAGAGTCCGACAGAGCCTTGTTGACCTTGCGGGAGCTCCATATTGAGTTCCAGACCTGCCTCATCGGCCACTTGACTCATGAGGTTGTCAACATCATTTGTTGGCACATTTGTTGCCACAGTCTGTCCCATGGCAGAGTCCATGTAACTGCTCTGGACATCAAGATCCTCAAACTGATGCTCAAACTTGTCCATGAGTGCTGATATTTTCTCAAGGTTCATGGACCTCATGGCAGCATCCATTGATTTTACCACACCACCCATTGACTGGGTGACCTTGCGAGTTTGAACAGCAGTCTGAACCCTGCTGGCAACTGCATCGACCCGCGCAGACATTTTCAGATAGTTTAGTGCTTGGTTCTTTTGCCTGATAGCATTTTCAGCATGTATCCTGGCACCTTCCATGTTTCCTTTCTGTATGGCCTTCTTTAATTTTGCTTTCTCAGCCTTTTCTTCCTTCTCACACTTCTTGGAATTGCGCACCATTTCTTTGGCAGCGAACTTGAGGTTGAAAAGGTGTTTCTCCATTGAGGCTATTGACATTTTGACGTTCCTATGACGGCGAATTTATAATTAAAAGATTCAACAAACAACGGAGATTTGAGGAATTCCTCCTATACACGTATCACTTGTCACAAATCTATACAAAGCAGTATGCATACAAATGATTCACTCGACTTGTGTTTGCGACGAAGTGCGCCATGTTGGAAACACAGGATCGCATCCTGCAGCCATATGAAGGTTTTTATCCGGCATTTATTTTTCCTTCAGACAACCTGTAGAGAAGAATCCATCGAGCCGTCAATACCTAATAATAATCGGTACTCGCTTGGTATCCGCTTTAGGCGGGATAATTCCTGATATTAAATACTTTGCGTTGCTACGTCACAAAACAACCTAGCGATTATTTTATCCGTAATTCAGGATAAGAATCACTTCGAAGCAGGGCTGCGGAGTCGATGGATTTTCGGCGACTCCGACTCCGACTCCGACTCCGGCTTTCAAAAACCAGCTCCGACTCCGACTCCGACTCCGGGCAGAATTGTCGACTCCGACCGACTCCAACTCCCGACTCCGACTCCGCAGACCTAGCAGGGCTGCGGAGTCGACAGATTTTCGGTGACTCCGACTCCGACTCCGGCTCGAGTTTCTAAAATCGACTCCGACTCCGACTCCGACTCAAGTCACAACTGTCGAGTCCGACCGACTCCGACTCCGACTCCGCAGCCCTGCTTCGAAGTTCGAACCTCACTTGTTTATGCATTGCTGCTGTGCAGTTTTATATAGAGTATGCATTTCCTTTAATAAATGTAACATTTTCCATGCAGGGAGGGGCAAATGTCCCAAACGCCCTCCCCTTTGGATCCGCCAGTACCCCTACTGGCTACCCCTCCAATCTCCATCGTCTGATGCGGGCTTGGTATCGCGTCAAATTCGATCCCCGGCGGTCACAGTAGTGACTAAAAGTCTAGGTAAGGTTCCACAATAGGTGGATTGATGCAAAACAATTTCCGTATAGGTCAGGCACTTGAAATGCAGCGGGTAGCGTCATGCTCTTAGTTCTCTTGGCCGGCACACGACCAAGATAGGAACTTTGAGATCCACAGGACAACGGACGCGGCCCCGTCTAACATTTATCAGTCATGGATGTCTTCAGCTGGTCAGGCACATGGCCGCTGACACTTGATTACTGACGTATTCTGCCCAGCCGACTCACGGCCACCGACGTATTCTGTCCATCCGACTCACGGCCGGTGACACATGCTTACTGACGTATTCTGCCTATTCTGGCTATCTCACGGCCGGTGGCGTTTTCTGTCCATCCAACATTCGGTCTGGGTCTTGTCTGCCCTTCTGACACCCGTCCTTGCCGTCCCTCCACAGCTAACGCGCACGAGATCCTGGCGGTGACGAAGCAGCAGGAACAGACGCGCCAGCTGGAGCAGCAGTCGCGCATCAAGGAGTACGAGGCGCACATCGAGCAGGCCAAGGTGGAGCAGATGCGCGCGCAGGGTGAAGAGCGCCGCAAACTGCTGGCGGAGGAGACCAAGCAGCATCAGCAGCGCGCCCAGTACCAGGACCAGCTGGCCAGAAAACGGTCAGTCATTACTCATTGCACCCTTCCCCTAACGGTTAGTGACCCCTCCCCCACTAGCAGCGCGGCCAGTATCAGGACCAGCTGGCCAAGAGACGGTCAGTGGCACCCCTCCCTGCCCTCTACAGTCTGTAACACCCCCTACCGTTAGCGCGCACAGTACCAGCTGGTCAAGAAACGGTTAGTGAACAGCGAATCAGCAGCGCCGCTGTGTAGTGTTGGTGATGACTAGCTCTCAGATAGACGTAACAGGTTCAGACAGGGAGGGAGGCAGACAGGGACATGGACATAGACAGGATGGAGGCAGACAGGAACATAGGCATGGACATAGACAGAGAGGGATCAGATAGGGACATAGACAGACAGGGAGGAAGGCTCCGTCTGGTCCCTGTCCCTCAGCTGCTGGCTTTGTGCCTTACCTTTTGTGAATGTTGGGTCCAAAAACGGTAGAACACAGTGGTCTTGTACTGACACCTCGCGGCCCCGAAACCAGCACTCCAATGCTCGCCCGTCTCCGCCGCCGGCCGCCCGGGACCCCTGACCCGCGACCCCAGGTCATGACCTCGCAGACGCGTACTCAGGCCGCGAGCCGAGGCGGTGCGGCGGGAAACTGCGCTATGTGTAGTGCCCGACTCACATGGCCACTGCCTAAGGATGCAGCCTGATGTGAGCTACCTGTAAGCCATGTGCCAGCTTCGGTGAGCCATGAGCCATAGCCATATGAGCCGTCATGTGACTCCACCTACAATGCTCGTTATCAGGTGGAATTATTTTGTGTGCGTAGAGCTACCTTACGTCATAACGGACTAGAGCACGACCAAAACTTCAGTGTGTAAGCAATATATACAATCATATAATTTTACCCGCTGCTGTTTCGTCCCGATGTCGGTTCAATATCCCGACCCTTTCACCTCCCCTGGGCCTGACCATACCGTTCCTCCACCTTGCCCGACAGCTCGGAGGACCAGCTCCTGCAGCAGCACCGTATGAACGAGGAGAATCTCCGCAAACAGGAGGAATCCGTCGCCAAACAGGAGGCACTACGAAAATGTGAGTGGTTATAACAAATCGCGTATGGTGTGCGTTTTGACATGACTCCTCCGAAGCTAGTGAATAATTTGTGAGTTTTCTGCCGTTGACTGAATTATCACATCTTTGGGCACCAAATAAAATAATGGAGGTAAAGTGCAGGTATTAATTAGTAACATCCGAAAGCTCCAATTTCATGAAGCGCAGTGTAAGATAAGAAATATGTCAAATGGAGCCATTTGGCGACCAAAGTGCACCATTTCCGGCCATTGACGTCATACCCGGCCCTCAGCTACTCTGGAGTACGAGATGGAGCTGCGGCACAAATCGGACATGAAGAAAATCGAGGCTGAGATGACGGCACGTGCCAAGATGGATCGCGAAAACCAGGATCTCACGCTGGAGCAGATTCGCGTCAAAGCCGCCGAGAAACGTGACACCGTCCTCAACTCCATCAAGTGCGTATGGTGGTTGTGTCATTGTTTGATTGGGGTGCCTTTGATGACTTTCATCAACATTATGTAGCGTAGATCATTCGATGATTTGTTCTCTGCAATTGTTGCTTTATTCAATTGGCAACATGTTAGGGCCTTTGCAGCTGCAGTTTTCAGTGTGGTTCATTGGAATTTCGAACTCTGCAGTTTAGCAGCTGAAGTCGGCCTGCGATGTATTATGTAATGTCAATGGCATTGCAAATCTTGGAAACATAGCTAGACCATTCTGTTTAGGGCCGCTGATTGCCACGTGTCACCTCCCTGACCCCAAGTGACCCCCCCCCCCCGTCGACAGGACGGCCGGCGCGGTGCTCGGTGAGGGCATGTCCGCCTTTCTCAGCGACTGGGACAAGGTAGCGGCGGCCGCCGGCGGCGTCTCCTTGCTCGCACTCGGAGTGTACACAGCGCGCGGCGGCGTCTCCGTCACAGCGCGCTATATCGAGAACCGGCTCGGCAAGCCGTCCCTGGTGCGGGAGACGTCCCGGTTCTCGCTGTTTGACGCGCTGCGCCACCCGTGGGCGACTGTGCGCAGCCGGCTGCAGAAGTCCGAGGCGGACGCGCTGTCCGGGGTGGTCCTCGAGCCGGGACTGGAGGCCAGGCTCAGGTAAGGGAAGGCTTAGACGAGGGAAGTCACCTTTGAGGTTTCGAGTCAGATTTACTTGTTATGATTACCTGCTTACCATTGGTTGTTGGTTGTCTTGGTTTATTGAGATCATTGCCTGGTGTAACAAGGAATAATTTTATGGTTTCATTGCGGGTAGTTTTGGGAGCAGGAATTGCTACCAGTGGGTCACCGGCCTTTGCTCAGATATCTTGCGCCGGTGTCAATGCTTTGTCAACCCAGATAATAGACGTTTCTGACTGCAGGGATATCGCCATTACCACAAAGAACACCAAGCGGAATAAGGGCATGTACCGGAATCTTCTCTTCCACGGCCCTCCCGGCACGGGCAAGACACTGTTCGCCAAGGCAAGTGCACATGATCTGTCCCATTAACGTTCAAATTACTCATTAAACCCATCCACTTCAGCACGCTTCAGTCTGAATGTCTGGAGCTTCGCTATCTTTTGACAGCGACTCGTCACTAGATAGTTGCCATTACTCATACACAGTATTGCAAATGTGCATATTTACAAGCTCACATATAGAAACGGCTACGATCACCTTGATCTGACGAGACGTTACACCAACCCATTGTTTCAATAACCCTGACCTCTAGCCGTCTAACCATCTGACTTCTGATGTCGGCAGAAACTGGCCAAGGCGTCCGGTATGGATTATGCCATCCTGACCGGCGGCGACGTGGCACCCATGGGTCGGGACGGCGTCACCGCTATCCACAAGGTGTTCGACTGGGCCAACACGTCGCGAAAAGGTGCGTTAGTGAAACCAGACGAAGGACAGTCGAAACTCTGTGAGCAGAAAGGAATGTGTTTGGGTGGGGAGCAGGTATGGCTTGTGTGAATTGACAAGATGACAGGCGACAGCTGGTAAATGCGGTTATACATATTATACGCGTCATTTGTACGGATTTAAGCTGATAATGACTAGAGTGACTGTAGAGTGTAGCTGGCTTCTTTAGACACCTGGGACTGCTCTATTCTGTGCCCAACAATGTCTGATCGATGCCCCTCTCTCGTGCCCGTCTCAGGTCTCATCATGTTCGTGGACGAGGCGGACGCGTTCCTGCGGAAGCGCAGCTCAGAGCACATCTCGGAGGACCTGCGCGCCTCCCTGAACGCCTTCCTGTACCGGACGGGCGAACAGTCGGACCGGCTGATGCTCGTGCTCGCCTCCAACACACCCGAACAGTTCGACTGGGCCATCAACGATCGGTGAGGGGCGGACGGAGAACGCAGGGTGACCAGCGACTGACGCGTGGGTGAGATTAGAGACACTGGGACGTCATTAAGGACAAGGTGGGGTGGACGACAGCTGGGTCAGAGAGATTCACGGCAGGCTAGAATGGCGGTTCCATATTCGGGGCTATCTCGTCTCGAAGAGGTCGACAGGATGGCTGGGTACTGGGCAGTGTCTGTGAGTGTGACACGCATAATTATGTGTATTGAGCGGCTGTCGCGCCCCTCTGACTGCAATGTTGCGTTGTGAGTAGATGGCGCCCCAAGTAACCAGACACCCAGCAAGCCTTTCCCTGACTGAGTTGCGACAGGCTGCTGTCTACGTACCGTTTATCACAGCTGACTATTGCCTTTGTTTTCCCCAGTCTGGACGAAATGGTGGAGTTTGCTCTGCCGGGCCTTCAGGAGCGGGAGCGGCTGGCCCGCCTCTACTTCCAGAAGTTCGTCCTCGAGCCGGCCACACAGGGCGCCAAGTGAGTTTCGGGAGAGTGCTGGGGGATGTAGTGAAAAGGAGAGAGGCGGCAGTCTCGCACTAAAGGCTGAAACAGACTCTTTCCGCAGTCAGGAAATCGCATGCGAGAGCCTATTCAAATACATTATAATTCTTCTCGCATCAATCGCATCCGGGAGGTGCGTGCGATTGATGCGAGCGTGTTTCCATGTCTTTGAATAGGCTCTCGCACGCGATTTCCTGACTGCGGAAAGAGTCTGTTTCAGGCATAAGGCTCTGCATTGCACGAGGATTGCTCAGTTGATCATACGGTTCCACTTCCATGGTGTATGAGAGCGCCATCTATGTCTAGCTGCCCTTTAGTAGGTCCCCTGCAGCGTGCACCCTGGCTGGCCCGTGTCCCTGTGGCTGGTGCCGTGGTGAGTCGTGCTCTAAGCCGGATGAAGCCGTTCCAGTGTTTGGGATTCGCAACTTGGGATTCCACACAACGACGGGCTGGGAAGTTCCCTGATGTGGAGCCGTCTCCCCCAAACACTTAGATCGGCCAAGGATAGCGATGTATTTGAAACAGCATGAGCAAGCTATGTAGTGAACACAGCGATGAAACCATAGTTCGTTTTGGCAAAGTTAAGGACAGTACAAAGCAGTGAGAAAACGTATATCAGAGCGAGAGATACTTTCTAGAAGAGTGCGTGAATGCCCACACGACGATGAACATTATGATACATACACACGAACATACATTTCTAAAACATGAATAAATCGGACATAGAAAATGAACAAGTGGAGCAGAGCCATCTGGCGGATATCGCTGAACCTGCGCCTCGCGTCAGCTGCGACAGCAGCGCCACGTTGAGGTCGACGGTGGCGCCGCCCCGCGTCGGAGCGCTTGCCAGTCGCCAGCGGCGGTAGTGCCGCGCCGCGTCGGAGAACGTGCGGCGGTGCACTACATCACCCTCCCCCTAGAGACGGCACTGCGAACGTGACGTTAAGAAAACGCGTTGGTGGCCGTACAGCACGGCCGGAGCGGGTCGTCCGTAGGCACGGCGGTGGGGGCGCGGGCGGAGGCGGCGGCTGTAGCGGCAGGTCGCCACGCGGTGGCGGAAGCGGCGGCCTCGGTGCGCGAGGCACTGGCAGGAGGAGCTCTGGGCCGGAGGCCGGTGTTGCCGAGTCGGCGGAACGCGCCGTGTCTTGGACCGCAGACGGCGATGCTGTCGGAGTTGGAGCAGGCGGGGGCCGTTCCAAGTGCGCCGGTTTGACTCGGTCGATGGAGATAACGTCTGAACGACCGCCTCGGTCCACAGTGACCGTCTTCGCCGATCTGTGTAGCACCTTGTATGGTCCGTCATAACGCGGGGCAAGCGGCGGCTTCACTGCGTCGTGGCGCACGAACACGTGCGAGGCGTGGTCCAGCGCGCGCGGCACGTACGACGGCGCGCTTGGTGCTGGTCGTGGTGCCGTCGGGCGCAGTGCCGCCATGGTGCGCTGAAGCTCGGCGGCGAATGATTCCGGCGTAGGAGGCGCGGTGGCGGACGGGGTGATGAGTTCACCAGGTAGGCGTAGAGGTGCTCCGTACACCAGCTCGGCAGTGCTGCAGCCCAGGTCTTGTTTGAGCGCCGAGCGGATTCCGAGCAGCGCCAAAGGAAGAGCCTCCGTCCAGCGGGCGGGCGCGGCGGCGCGCAGCGCGGCCTTAAGCTGCCGGTGCAGGCGCTCCACCATCCCGTTGGCCTGGGGGTGGTACGCGGTGGTCCGGCGCCGCGCGCAGCCCAGGAGAGTGGACAGCTCAGCCCAGAGCGCCGACTCGAATTGGCTGCCCCGGTCGGTGATGATCTCGTCCGGGACGCCGAACCGAGAGATCCAGCCGGAGATCAGCGCCCGGGCGACCTCTCGCGCCGTGATGCCACGCAGCGGGATCGCCTCCGGCCAGCGGCTGTACCGGTCCACCACCGTCAGAAGATACGAGTAGCCCTCAGACGGCGGCAGCGGGCCGACCAGGTCGGCGTGCACTTGTCGAAACCTGTCGGCAGGTGGCGGGAACGATGCGGGCGGCGCTGTCGTGTGCCGGTGGACTTTGGTGCGCTGGCACGGGACGCAGGTGCGCGCCCAGAGTGCGGCGTCCTTCTTCACCGACGGCCACACGAACCGCCGCGTGACCAGGTCGACGGTGGCGCGCACTCCCGGGTGGGCCAGATCGTGCACGTGCCGGAAGTAGGCGCGCCGGAGCGGTGCCGGGATCCACGGCCGCGGTACACCCTGGGACTCGTCGATGACCAGCGTGCGGCCGCTGGGGAGCCGGGCGTCTCTGAGTTTGAGCCCGTGCTCTGTCGAGCGGAAGCGCGCCAGCTCTTCGTCCTCTAGCTGGCAGGCTGCGAGCTTGTCGAAGTCGTCGACTGGCGGGCACGGTGCTGAGAGCATCGCCACTGTTCGACTCAGAGCGTCCGCAGCTGCGTTTTCTTTCCCAGGCACGTGCCTGATGTCGGTGGTGAACTGGGAGATGAAGTCCAGGTGCCGGATCTCCCTCGGCGAGTAGCTGGCTGACCCGGACGAGACTGCCGACACGAGGGCCTTGTGGTCGGTGAAGATGGCGAACTGGCGGCCTTCCAGAGTGTGCCGGAAGTGCTTGACCGCCAGATACGCCCCGAGCAGTTCGCGGCCGAAGGTGCTGTAGCGTGTCTCTGCTGGTTGGAGTGACTTCGAGAAGAAAGCCAGCGGCGGTAGTGCCGCGCCGCGTCGGAGAACGTGCGGCGGTGCACTACATCCCCACACAAGACGCGTCCAAAGATGGAATTCTGACTTATGATCCCTGTTACTTGCCCCGCGGTCCCCTCACTCCTTTCTAACCCATGACGCGTTGTCGACAGGCGGCTGAAGGTGGACAAGTTCGACTACGGCAACGTGGCGTCGCGGATAGCGCTGATGACCGCCGGCCTGTCGGGTCGAGAGATCGCCAAACTGGGCGTGGCCTGGCAGGCGGCCGCCTACGCCAGCGAAGACGGCGTGCTCACCGAGAAAATGGTCATGGACAGAGTCGAGGACGCCATCCGCCAGAACAGGAAAAAGGTAAAACATGGCAGAATCATGAGGTTGGATGCGGGGATGGTGTCTGAATATGGTTCTGATAAGGCTTCTTTCGGCGTGCGTCACATGATCAATTTCACTCGCCATCGTTTGAAGGGATCTTAGGGCGCCTTCCATTCAGTTCACTATTTTTCTTTCTTTTTTATTCATTTGTTTATTTGTCGAAATGCTAGTCGTTGAATTACTTGCGTCGTTTTATGTACGTTTCGATGCTGTGAACACTCAGCCCTTTGACTAATCCGCGAATCAGCCTTATACCATTGACTGATCAATGGGGAAAATGCGCTATCCGTATCGGCAAGCCCTCTCGGGGCCGGCCTCCGGGGCCTGCCGCTCCGGTCCCGTGCCGGCGCCGCTGTCCCGTCACGCGATGGCCGGAAACACCGACCGGCAGTGGCCGTAATGAAATCTGCCGGCCCATTGATCTAGGTGATCGGGCCAGACGTGGTCTGAGAGGCTGATCAGGCCAGACCAGTGGTCCTAGAGACTGATCAGGCTTGTCCTAGCGGTCCCAGCCGCTGCTCGGGATATCATGAGTGTGATGGTCGGTGTGGGAATCCAGTTCGGATGATCTGGTGTTGAGGAATGATTGAATGCTCCTCTGTCGCTGTTTGTTGTGGCCTCTTGCAGGATGGCCTATTAGTGTTTGTTACGTGAGGTATACGTAATGACACTACATCTCTATTCCACCAACTCTGTCATGTGACAACCGATGACACTACCCCTCTATGGTGAGCTATGAAAGTAAAACCTGCCATTACAACCCTGCGCCTCTTTCCCTGCAGATGGAGTGGCTCAGTGAAGAGGAGCGGCGAGAGGGCAAGTCGGGCGTCCACTCCGACTCGACAGCGACACCTCAATCGTCGCCCGCGCCGGCATCGGTCTGATGTGGAGTCGAGCCGGGGCGGTATCGGCCTCCACACCGACCGCCGCTCCCCGGCACCTAGCAGCCAGTGACGCGGCCGACGTTCAGCGCCGCCCCAGCGCCGCGTCAGCATCATCATCGGAAGTCGAGACAGTCCAGGTGGTCAGCCAGAGAGTTTATAGTGTTATTGTGATCGCCACTGCACGTATGAGAGTGACCTGTTTTGATATGTGAGCCCGGCGCCGGGCCGGGCGGTGTATTTGGTATGGTGTGGCGGCCGGGTGGCCGGTGCGCCGTCTCGCGGGCTGCTGACTGCCCTGCCTCTCCTGGTACGCCTCCGTGGGGCAGCGTACCGGCCGCCGCCCGCCGTCCGTCTGCGATAGTGATTGGGATCGTGACGAGCTGTATGTTGTACAGGAGTTATTGTGGTGCAACTTGTGTACTGTGCTACTGTCATTGTATGTTGAAGCGAACTAGCCGCGTTGAAAGCGGTCATCGTGATACAGCAATACATAACCAAGTCGGAGCTAATGACTCTGTCCTTGAGCTAGACTCAGACCTGGCTACGAGCGGCAGAATTCACCGAGGAAAACCTCGGGCGACTTGAACGGGTTGAGCTATTTTTGGACCGCGAACAGTCCGGGCTGTGGTCTATTTTTAGCGAGCAGCGGCCGGCGAATGGGATGTCGTCGACAGACAGAGTCGTGGAGTCCTGGACAGAGGAGTTCGATACCGTGTTGGACGTCTACCCTGGGTCTGGGGTCAAACATGGGCTTGATTTTAGATGATGGGGTGCTCAAATGTTCGATGGGTACGAGATCTGCAGAGATGACTTCGCCTGATGTAAAAACTAAGAAAGTACATTTCCGATCGATCGCGTAATATTCATTTCGGTAGGTATGCGCTAAATTGGTGTGATAGGGTTTTCAGAGTCTGCTTACGATATTGGCATAAGCAGACACCTCAAGAGAACGAAAAGTTACAAAATAATCACCTTTCCCTAATAGCTGGTCACATCCCTAAACATCCCAACCATTGTCCGATGCCTCAAAATTGGCTCCAAAACTTTTCAGGCCGCGAGCACGGCGCCATTCAAACTGCTAACTGCAATCACGAAGGTGCATATTCGCCTCGCGTAACCCCAAAACTAATTAGTGAATGATGACTGCGGTCTAGCCTTGACGCAATGAGTTGACCTGCCGGTTCGGGTTAGTCATGGGACTATCCGCTATTCAGGCGGGTCGGTTGGGGTTCTACCCCCCCCCCCCATCCGCACCCCTCCCTCACGCACCGGTCGCCCAGGCGGACCAGCCGATGCGTGGGGCGGCCGGCCCGTATTGATTTTCCCGGTCCGCCGTCGCCCGACCTTTGCCAGCCAGCTGCGGGGCCGGGCGGTCGGCGCATTTCGCCACGGCGCGCGAGGCGGGGCACAGAGCCGGGGGCTGACCTTTGCTGGCCGCCTTCCGCAGCGTCCCTAGACACTGCACTGGACGGTGCAGAGCCCAGCACCACTCAACAGACGACCTCGGTCACTGCAGCGACCGGTCACGCCCGGAAGGAGCGCTCACGTGGCTCGGTGCGGGTCGGCACGTGACCGGACTCGGTACTCGGTGGCATTCAAAGGGCAGCGCCTCATGGAATGGCCGACCTGGGCGTCATGCCATGATTAAAAACAAATTACGACATGACTCCACATATCTACCATCCTGATACTCAACACAAAGGCATTGCACCATTGTCCAACGATCAGGTGTTAGGTTCATTGCTTGGTGCCGCAACGCCGCTCGTCTTTGTCAGTCCGACCCGACCCCCGCTGAGCACTTGATCCGAGCATTGCCCCACTATCAGCCGAGACCGCCACAAATATTACCTAGAACGCACAGATACAGGTAGTCGGACCATCTGGGGTTGTTTTCGACCAGAGTCAGCGTTCACTGACATCACTACATTGACAGTCCAGACGGTGAACTCGTATCTCACATTGCTGGGTCGATCCGGCACGTTTGGGGTGGGATTGGGACAGGAGTGTCCCGCTCTACGGATCACTAACGCCCTACGATATCGATAGACGCCGCGCACAGTACCAATTCAGGCCAAATCGTTACCCAATCTCTATACAAACGGTCTAACATACTGCATCCATCACTGAGCGACCGATGGCTCCCTATCGACCCATCGGGTGCTACCCCATCAGACGCGCCCCATCACTCCCAACGCTTCCCCGGCCGCCCCACCACATCCCACCGGTCCTCCCACTAGTCTCACTGGATTTCCCGGCCACCTCACTGCTCTCCCGATCATACAGACGACACAATGTGGTGGGCTACTAGCGTCAGCGTATATTAGTGATGCCAGCCGGCCGCGGCCGAGATATGCCTGGCCCCGGCCCTTCCACTAGCCCGGCGGGCGCCGGGGGGCCACCGCAGCCGCCCTCCGAACGCAACTCCTCCCTATATAATATAGTATGTAGATATACGCACATAAATAATGACACGGCTAGTTGTAAGGCGCCCGTAGCGCGCGCCGGTATCTACCGAACGGTACAGCGCACGGCACACACGTCCGAGCGAGCGTCTGGGCGACATCTAGCACACCACGCGGCGACACAGAGACCGGACGATCTTCAACTGGGGAGGTAGCGGCGCCGCACGCCGCACATGCACCGTATACAGAACAGGCCGGCGCCGGGCCGCCCTATTCGCCGGCCGCCGCGCCAGCAAACAAGCGAGAAAGATGCCAGCGTGCCTCCATTTACCATCGATGACTAGCCGATCGGCGACCGAAATCAAGAAACAATCACCCCCGAAAAGTGTTTTGCGAGCGCACGCGGCGTGCGCGCGCGGGGCGCCGTGGGTGGTGGTGGCGCGCCAGGTAGTATCACACGCGCGCGCAGGGAATGTCGGCTGCCGCTGCCTGTCCGAGCGTCGGTTGCCGCTCTAGCTGCTGGCCCAAACTAAAACAAAACAACAGAAAAATAATGAAAAACGGTGCCGGTGCGTTGGCTCGACAGTGCCATCCATCAGTGCTAATTTGACATGCTCACGAGAACGCGGATATCTCATGCCACTCGTTCACATACTGACAGATAGACGGACATACAGTCATAGACAGACGAACATACAGAGAGACAGACAGATAGACGAATAGACGGCAGACCTACAGAGACGGGACACTGACCGACAGTACGATGACTGGGTGAAATGAGATCACATAACGACTGACCGATTGCCACGAAGGGACCACCGACATAAAAGCAAACATGTGCTCTTCTTTCACAGCGCTACATCCACAGACACACGCCTACCCAAACACAGACACAGGGTACTCCTTCCACTCTCACTTCACATTTACCATGGTCGGGCGATGCCCGTGAGATCATGATGTGAAAACTGACCGGCACTCACGGCGGAGTCGCCGCACGCTCAACAACACCCACTGGACTCAAACTCACCAAACTCAGCGGGAATGCACGTAACAGACATCCACACATTCCTACTCCAAACAACCACACACACAACCACACACTTTCAGACCGTATTCCAGAGTGGGCCCACATCCTCACAGGGCAACACTGAGATCAGGGAACAACGACTTTAGACCGAACGGATACAGCAGCTCAATATCCAACTACGCTACAAGCTACGCAAAACACTACTCGTGTGCATGCTCGGGGATTTTGCGCTGGAGGGATAACGAAAAAGAAAATAATAAAACTGATGTCCTCTCTAGTTGTCCGAGCAAGCTACACAAAGCGACCTCTCTGTCACTGACGATGCGATTTAATGAGACAAACACGGGGAGCGGTGGAGACACCTCGCCGGCATAGCGGCACGACAGCCAGACACCGTCCGTCCGCCAGCCGGCAGCCGAGAGACGGCCGGACGGCCAGCCACGGACGCCGCCACGCCCTCCTCCCACCCCTCTCTCCCCCTCCTCCAGCACGGCTGCTGCCGGCGTCGGTGGATGAAGCAAGCCGCGCCTCCGGGCGGCGGCGGTGGCGGCGGCGGCGGGCGGGCGGGGGCGGGGGCGGCCGATGCCGCCGCCGGCCGGCCTCTGGACCCAGGCCGACTGGCGGCAGCGGCGGCGGCGGGTCGGGGAGCCGCGCCCCCGCCGGCGCACCCCTCTGCACACCGCCCGCCTAAGAGCTCCCGGCTGCATGTAAGCGGAGCAGGAGCGAGTCAGTGGTTAGTAGGCGAGCGGGACGACAGACAGACGGCCCGGCACCGCACCCACACCCGACCCCGCATGCAGTCAGTACACCAAAGCCCGTCTGGCAGCAGTTAGCACTACAAGAGCGTGTTACGAGCACGGGACCCCCTTTCCAGCACGGCCTATCAGACGACCGAGCCGGTATCCAGCCACAGATCGATTATCCGATGGCCGGTCGAGTTTGAACTCGGCTCGCTATTGAAAGCGCGGCTGTCTGTGGATGCCGTGGTGGGAAGAGGGCGACCGGTGCCCGCGGACTGCGCTGACTGACTAGGCTGCTACCCAGTCCGCCCCCGAAACACACACCAGGTCACCATAGGAGCCCGTGAGAGATGAGCGGTTAGTAATGGCACGAAATCGGTAAAAGTTATATAGCAAGCATTTCGAAGAGCCTTCACGTCAGTGGAAATGGTTTACTGACAGAACCGATGTCAGAAATCAACAGAGATGCGGTCGACTTGACGCGATGTCACTAATGTCTCCAATACCCTGCACCAGATTCAGTCGGTGATAATATTAATAAAAGTGAAAATCTAGAAATTTTAATCAGGATAAAACCTCAAAAGACGGACACTCGAAGCATTGCAGAACAATTTAGTAATAATGGAAGCCTACAAAAAATGCTACCAATATTCCAAAACATGTCGTGCCTTCCAACTACCCGACAGCTTTTACAGCCATCGAGAAATGCGTGTTCTTGTTGAAAGTTTATGAATGCTCACTGAAGAATTTCATAGAAATGGGCCACTCCCACCACCCGAAAACACATTCACATGTATGTCACACACCCAGACACAAAGAAAGTCGAAAAATAGAACAATACTGCAAACAGTCGAAAAGATGAGTTGGAAACAGTCGAAAAGAACAGCACACCGAGCTGGAGAGAATAGAAATATGTAGAGAGAGAAATAGAAACGGCCGAAATAGGGGAGAGAAGCACCAAGCCGGAGAGAGGCGGGCTGGCGGTCAGCGGTGCGTTCAGCTGCCCGTGTCATGCGGGGGAGTCTGGCCGGAGGCAGGGGAAGCGGCGCAGCAGGCAGGCCAGCCAGTGTCGGGGCGGGGCGGAAGCACCGCTGGGCGGAACTGATAGCCGGGCGGGCGGGTCCGCAGGGAGGCGGCCGACCGGCCGGTGGATCAGGAGCAGAGCCAGGCATCCCGTCAGAGCAGGGCAGAGGAGAGGACGCGGACGGAGGTCACGGCAGGCGACCAACTCCCAGGGACCGCGCAGGACCTCAGGACTGGACGTGGCGGCCCAACTCCGACTCACAGAGCTGGCAGGGGCCCGTCTGCCGCCGGAGGAGCACAGCTGTCCCTACAGCTGGGCGGTGACCCCTCCCCGCCCTGTCACATGCCTTCGTGGCAGGCAGACACCTACAGGTCCGGCTGGCATCGATGAATCATCGGACCCGCCGTCCAGCACGTCACCCAGCTACCCAGCAGGCTTCATTTCACTTACGAGTTCACATCATTGGCTGATTCGAGTCAATTTGATAGCACATAACTGAACTGAACTGAAACTGAACAGAAAAGCGCGGATGTCCCGTAATCATACGGTTTTCTCAATGTATATGTAACATTCTAGTGCGACTTGAGACAAGTCTCGTCGCCGCACAGAGGACTGACAGGCGCCGTCTAAACTGCGCCTCTCGAATACACGGGACTCTGGGCGATGTCGCAATGCGGACAGTCGAACTGCGATGTGACGGCGGCGCATGACTCGGCACTGGAGCGCGCCCAAGGCCAGACATGAACTGATAACACGACCCGACCAGACTTTGTTACCGGGCTGCGACAGGCTTCGGATTATAGATCTGCTTCGAGCGACAAGGGCAAAGAAAATGGATTCAATAAGTAATAACAATGCATGTTGCAGATAACAGCCAGGTCAAATCAATTCGCTATCAGTTTTCAAATGCATTACCCATTTGCCCAGACCGACAATTCAGTCGCAACAGTTGCATAACTTGACAAACGATATCATCGGCTCGGAAACCCACCACCTAAAACCGTTTTTGGCTTCCACCCTCCCTCCAGAACTTGATCGCCCTCCCAACTTCATCGCCTCCTGATCCGTGCTTAACCCACCCTGTTCCGTTTCCTCCCCCCCCCCCGTTCCACCCTCCCGCCCGGGTCAGTGTCCGGGGGGCGGCGCGGGCCGCGCTACCGGACGACGGCCGAGCGTCGGCAGCCGCAATCGATAGCCCGGTCGGATGACCGCCAGCCGTCGGCGGCTGGCTTCGATCGGCCGCGCCGCCCCCGCCCGACGGACGGCCGCCGGCGGCGGCAGCGGCGGCTCAGGTGTGCCAGGCCGCGTGCCGCCGCACCACAGAGTGACCACATGGCCGTGGGGCTACTACCGGGCGGTAGGGAGTCTCGCTCCGCCGCAGACAGTACAGAGGAAAGGCGGTAGGCAGCGGCTATGACCGTCTCGAGGCGTAACCGCCCACCATGAGCTGGGACAAGACAATCGTTGGATGCTTGGGGACATAGGGTTCCGAGAACATTCCGGAGAGCGGGTTAGATGAGGCGCATGGAGCGCGGAGACAGCGTGTGGGTGCAGGGTGGCCGGGAGAGAAGAGACGGGGGGTGGGTGCAGCACACGCGAGCGAGCCGGGTCGGAGCAAGGTCAAAAGTTGTAAGTAAAATCGTCTGTCCTGACCTGTCTGACTGAGCCCCGTTACCAGAACTTGGCTGGCGAGGCAGAGCGGGTGTCTGGTTAGTGACACCGCGGTGGCACGGTTTCGGCGGCACACAGACACACACACTGACGCGAAACAGACAGCGGGGGCGGGGCGGACAGATAGCGAGCCAGAGAGACAGAACGGCTGGCGAAGGAGCACGGCGACACTGACACCATCGGCATCGGAACGGCCGCTGACCTGGCGTTAGACAACGTTCGCTGAGCGTACGCCGGCGGCGGACGGGCGGACGGGCGGACGGACGGACGGACGGACGGACAGCGGGCACGCGCAGAGAGGGAGGGCAGGGCGCCACACGTCAGCTCTCGGCCACGCGCCCTCACTCACACGCACACACACAGGCACATACACTGTCCCCCACCCTCCTATACTATACTCCCGACAAGACGGACAGCCAGCGCTTTAAAGGACGCTGTATCACAAAGAATGTTGCTGAATGCCATGAGTGATTGTGAGAACGACTACATGATTGAGGAACTGTAACTCACTACATGAATGTAAAGTTAGACAAAGTACTAAAGTACAATATAAGACTACGTTCTGCCCGTCCTGGTGTACGTTACTTGTTAGTAGTTGGACAATACACACATTAGGCTGCAATGGCAGTCAGTTATGCTATAAAAAGCGGTTGTCTCACTATAAACGTGAGTTGGACATGTTAGACAACAGACATGTTCTGCATGCACACATCCACCAAGGCATGCAAGCTGCTGCTGTGCAAAACAAAACATGGAATGTACTTACCCGCAATGATAATGATAAGCACTATGACTATAACACCAATAATCAGCCACATCTGAAAGAAACGCCAACAGAACCAGTGAACAAACGGGCGAGGGCCGTTGGAGTAGCCCTGTGCTGCAATCGTCAAAAAACGTGGAGGGATAGAACAAAACATCAAACAGATCGGTGCCTCCGCCACACGGCATCACAGTCCGATGGCGGATAAATGATACCCCGGCGAAAAGAACAGCCCAAGCCAGGCAGTTCTACTGCTGCTCGTATTGGGTCTATCTACTATGAACAGAAATAAAACACCCAAGTAAAAACCCATCCACACAGGGAGCGGGCGCGCGGGCTCAGCGGGCGGCTTCACAGGTGTGGCACAGTCGTCCAATCGGTCCCAGAAACAGGTCACTGGTTCAGGGGCCGACTGGATCAACTGACAGCCGCCGGGAGCCGCCGGCTGACCCAGCCCGCCACCCGCTCCACCCCGCCCCATCCCAACCCCGGGCCGAGTGGCCCCACGTGCTGGCTGAGGCGGCCCGCCGGCCACGCTTAAACCCCACGCAGACGTGCAGAAACGTGCCAAACCCGGTAAAACCCTGACCGGCTTACCTATGATAATGGCAACTATTACCAAACCGATTACCCCCATGATTATCATCATCTAGCGAGGCAAAGGGATAGAGAAACAGGTGGGTCAATATGGTGTCACACCCGCGCCGCGGCGGCTCACAGCAGCACAGGTGCACCAGATCATATGACGTCATACAGTGAACAGATACGGCCTTGGCTGCACGCCATCGAGACAGCGGCGGCGATAACCTCAGTCATATCGGAACCAACAGTCGGTATTACTGGGTCTGATAGGGCAGCCTAGTGACGTCACGGATTCTAGCACACAGGTGTCGCGCGTCACGGGGCTTACCTTCAGATTCTTCCACCAGAACTTGCGCTTCAGCTTGCCGGCTTGCTGCTCGAACTGTGAGGCGCCGTGCTGCAGGGCGTCTGGTAGGGGAGAGGGCGATAGTTAGATGGGCGCTGACATAGACAGAACGTCAGGGACGGGGTGTGACATGCACATGGCACACACATTGGGCGTACTGTGACACAATATACTATACAGGAAAAAAGCATGCTAACAATATTCTATCAAAACACTACAAACAGGCCAATATTTTATAAGCGCATATAGCAAATAGTATCAAATATGCTATGGTGATTAAGAAAAACATGCGTTTCTAGAAAGACAGGTGACATTTAAAGTGACTAGAGCGTGTGAATACGTAAAGCACAGTGCCACTTTGGGGGGGGGGGGAGGTCTTAATTATCATTACACAGAAGATACTGACAAAAAGCAATGCAGGCATGGTGGCTTTCCGTAGAAACGTTTCCCTCCCTTTCCCTTCAACGGATAGAGCATAACAGACAATTAACCCGCGCCCTGGTGGGGGGGGGGCTATTTTTTGCCCCCCCCCCCTCCAGACTTTTCGATATATCTCCAGAACCACTGCGCCGATCGTCACCAAACTTTCAGTACCCTCCCGGACATCAATTTTACACATTGTGACCAAAAATTTTTACAAAGGCTATGATAGGTTAGCCGGAAATGACGTCAGAGTGACGTCATGTTCTGCCGTTTTCGACCCAAAAAAGGGTTTCGCGGGAAGAGCTGTCAGGCCTATAGCTTTGCAAATACAGAAAAATGATTCAAACATAAAAGCTGTAGAATGGACAGGGCTACAAAACCGCTATCTCTGATTTTTGAAATTTTTGGATTTTGACCCCCAAAAATAAAAAATAGATTTTTTGAATATAATAGCCAAAAAATCCAAAAAGTTTTTTTGAATTTCGGAAAAACCGGAATATATGTGATAGTCCTTACCGCCTTCTATCTACATACCAAATTTGAGATCGATACCTCTTTTTTTGGCCAAGTTATAGCGAAAAAACTGCTCAAAATTGATGACGTCAAATTTTCAAACTCAATTTTCAGCAATTCTAGACCTCGTAGCGCAAAACAAAGAGCACCATTAGACTCCCCGTGACGAGCTGCATCGAATCAATACCCATTTTATGCAAAAATATCAACTTTGAAATTTGACCTTTTTTGACCTGACCTTGACCTGACCTCCACCAGAAAGTGACCTAAGCCGTACCTGATGGTCTTATAACCAACACCATTGAGTTGGAAATGAAAAACTGGCCATAAAACATGCATCGCATAACCTTAGTAAAGTTGGGTTCATGTGGTGACCCTTGGTGACCTTTGGTGACCTGACCTGTGACCTGACCTGGTATGACCAGTGACCTCTAACAGCAACATATCTACTAGGCAACTGACGCCCTATCGTTGATTCCCGACAAAATGCGTTTTCCTCGGTGTTATAGCGCATTCCCTAGAAGACCCGTGAACGGTGAAACATTTCATCTTTGACCTGACCTGTGACGTCATCGGTGACCCCGAGGTCAATAAAATTTGGTTTCCCTCGACAAATTTGACAGGCCTTTCGAACGCCGTTTGAATTTTTCGGATCCGTCCAGTAGTTTCGGAGATACGAGGGGGGGCAAAAAATAGCCCCCCCCCCCACCAGGTCGCGTTATAAACAGACCCCACCAGGGCACGGGTTAAAACCAATGAGTTCCCGGTCCCAGCACCACGCTAATAGCCACCCAGACCTAATGACAAAGGGCGTATAGCACCATTTGCCCTTTTCCAGTTCTGTCGCTATCGAGTCCAGTTTCCTCACTGACAGCGACAGGGAGCAGCGGCACCACGCTGGACGGCCCCATAAGACCAGCTGAGCGGCCAGATTCGCCCGGTGACCCCGGCAACTCAATTTCCGGAGAGCGATAACCTCCCGGCGCGGCGGTCGGCGGCGCGACACCCGCTGCCGCCAGAGCACGGCGAGAGATCCAACTGACGCCGGGAGCCAGCCCGGCCGGAAGGGAACGGACCGAGCCGTCCAGCTAATGCGTTGTGCCGCGGCCGGTGGAGCGGCCAGTGCAGTTGCGGAGTGACGCAGCCCGAGACAGATTGAAACGGCAGGGCAGTGTCACTGGGTCATAGATCAGACAGAACGCGTTAATCTTAAGCCGCTAGTTATAGGTACGGAGGTCCGACCAATGTCGCTGGTTCACAGCACATAGACTCGGTTAGTCCGTCACTGGCGTCCGGTTTAGAGTTGCGGAAAGTATAACTACAGCCCAGCTCAGGGACTTAGCCCACGTGTTGCTGGCCCAAAGCCCTTTCCCCGCCCCTCCTAAAGCTGTGCAACAAATGCTCTGCAGCACACTGCGTTAAAACAGTCCTGAATCACGAATGCCGGCCCACAGCTGCGCTCTGCCACATTTAGTGGGACAAGTGCAGGACCCGCAAAAATCTGAAATCTCACACAAGACCGATCCCCAACACAGCTGCACTTGTGAAAATTACGGTGTATGGTGAGGCAGGTTCATTCACCCAGCAAGAAATTCAACAAGAGAGGGATGAAACGTGAAGCAGGGCGACTCAATGAAATTCCATTAAACGAAAGTGAAACAAAAGTGAAGAAAGTCTTTGACGACTAACTAGGCTTCAGAATGTAGAGGATTCCATCGGACACGGTACGATTCAAACAAATAGTGCACCAAAAAAGAAAGCCGCCAGCTAATTGAAATGCACATAAGGCATGGCATGTAGCAAGAGGCAAGAGCACTTTATTGGCCTACTTACTCAATACTCGAGGTGACGTCATCGTTGCTTGGCAACATTGCTGAAGAATAACTCAGAGCGTAGACCTCTGTGTACCACTGGTTTTGCTCAGTCAATGTTTCAAGGAGAAAAGATCACAGCCTTCAAGTTCTAAAGTGCATGTCTTGGTGCATTCAAGTAGCATCGAGCTAGAAGAAAGCGATGGAGGAAATTGGAAATTGTTGGCACACATCCAAAGCCGTTTAAGTGCAGTCATGCAGTTCTCCTAAAGTCGCATCATAGGTACCAACAAAAAGAAATACCGACAGTCCCATAGATAAGCACCAGACAGACAGACACACAGATAGATCGGCCCGCCGGCAGACAGCTGACCTGCCCGGTCGTCCAGCTCAGACAGCTTTTGGTCCCTCTCCAGCACCTTCTCAACGTTGGTACGCATTATGTCCACCACCTGATGTGTAAGGGCCGGTCGGCACGGGTCACAGGGGGTGCTGCGACACACGGCGGCGGCGACATGCGGACCGCACAGCGGGGCGGCGGGTTAGTCCGCGGTGGCCGCCCGGAGGCCGGGCCGTGCAGCCGCCCCGCCGAGGTTCCACATGGCGCCGCGCCGTTGGCAGGGGAGGGGAGGCACACAGTTACCTGCTCGGTCGTCCAGTTCGGACAGTTTCTGATCGCGCTCAAGCACCTTCTCAACATTCACCCGCATGATTCCAACAACCTACGGTGCAAAAGATACGTCAAACTCAGTGAACATATCACAAAACAAACAATATGATCGGTTTAGGAAAAATAAAACGACAAAAGATGATATTAAAATCACAAATAAAAACGAAAAAGAGCTGTTAAAAACCAACGTCCATACTTAATTAACTTCTTAAAAACGTCGAAATGAAATGACATTTAACGATGCAAGAATGAATGTTATGAAAACAATTGAACAGAATCAGGGTTGCCACAGAAGCAAAACAATGAGCTCCTGAATCGCACCTGCCTCTTAACCTACAATAATTCTGAGCAGGAATCAGACTGAATCAGTGTAATTGTTCACGATAATTCACGCATTGTTGATAAGGCGTTCAATGTGCATTGTGCATTAAATATTGATCTGCACAGATGTACAGGTAGCAGGTAGAGGCATCATGTCCCACACCACCCAGTGCTGGCCACTTTGTGTACCGGCCTGCGACCTCACCTCATCGACCTGTGCCTGTGACTGTTGGACTCGTTTCTGTGCGGCGATCTGCTGAGGGTTGCGCGGCCCTCCGACGGGCGCGTCCGAGCCGCCCTCCCCCGGTACTCCGCCCTCCGTCGACCTGTGCACAGTCACACGATGTCACTGGTCTGCACTGCTCAGTTAGGCTGCGGCCAACTATCATACACCGGTCTGCAGCACACTTTTGATAGCATAAGCAGATGGACATGAACACTGGTAAGATGGGCAGCAAGCAACTGCATCCTCTAGGAATCATCTAAAAATGGGCATTAGAAGCAAGGTCAATGGCAAAAGAAACACGAGTAAAAATACTCATGGGAACAAGTCAAATGAGACAGAAAAGTAGCAGTCCATTGAAATAAGATTGGATTTCACTAACAATGTAGCTCAAGCCATTTTACAGGTCAAAGATTGAAAAGCACATTACCTATATAAAAATTAGAATGCAAGCTGTTTACAGCATATTATATTGCCAGCTGAGCAAGAAAGAGCCCAAAAGGCAGCCAAATTGATCGAATAGTAATATGCCAAATATGTTCTTTTAAAAAGTAATGCTCAGTAGGCATGATGCCAAATTGTTCTATGGTCGTTGTACTTGTGAAAAAATTACTTGATAAAAATGTTTAATGCATGCTAAAATATTCACAAGAAAATAAAAGTGAAGCAATTTATATCTTACTGAACATTATCAACCGAGCCCTCAGTGTTGTCTTTATCAGTTGACATGATATTCTGAAAAGGGTTGAGCATATCTCCTGAGTGTCACATACGAGTAATTATTGAGGGGAAAGTCCAGACAAAACAGCACTAGCAGCAGCTCCTGGGCAGGAGACACTGCCTGCTCTGAATGACCTTTCTGTTCAACTGATCTCCAATCTCTCAAGATAATAAGAGCATGTTCCACGAATACATATTTGAAGAAGAAGCCAATCCCCATGATACCAAACACTCAAAATGAATGAGCTTTAATTCCTTTTCAGCAAATAAACCTACATAGGTAATAGAAGAGCAATTCAAAATAATACACGGTGCAGAAAGAACTTCCACATAAAATTGAAAGCTAGATCCAACATCAATGAGCAATGCAACAAATTATGATTTTAATGGAGAGCTGAGCAGAGTCAGTGTTGTAGTCAGTCAGAGTCCACAGTTCTGTCCACCAAATATTATGGACTCTGGACTCTGGATCTGAAGTTGATATTGTTTAGCTTAACACTATGCTTCTAGTTTGCTTGTCAAAAACTTCACGATCATCTACCAGTTGGGATCATCAATGAAATTCTGATTTCCATAGGGGAAAGCGGGGCAAGATGGGGATGTTAAGCTTCATGCTCACGTGCTTGCCAAAAAATGGACAGCAGCCGAAGTTTGTTGCTTTCATGATGTAGTAAAGGTACTTGGGCATCTTTTCCCATATGTAGTTTAGATGCATACTATTGTTTGAAACCCAAAAACTGATTTTTAAAAACATAGCTAGATCCCCATCTTACCCCACTACCAGGGGTAAGATGGGGATGGACATGGGGTAAGATGGGGATACATTGGTATTTTTTTTAAGGTACAGTTTCATTTATTCAAGTGCATTGCGTACAAAAAGTGGACCTAGAGAACCTAACCCCGTCACGCGATGACCTGAAGGTCAGGTCAGGTCATTGAACTTTGATGACCTCGGTTCACTTATTCGAGTTGTACATGTTTGTAGGCCAGTTTTTGGAGCTGAATTCGAATTAAGCAACCATATTAACATTTACGAAGTAGTTTTGGTGCCTTCGTAACATGTTACAAAGCTGTCAGAAGCGGTGTACTACGAATACCCGGCAGGACCCCTACTGGTTGACCTGACCTGGCCTGACCCGACCTGGCCTAAATGCATGAAGACATCATCTGTGATCAAAACTAACATGATATTTGTGATCAACACCCCGAAAAACCCCATAGCAGCCACACTTTACGACGTTCTAACAGGTCCCGATTTCCCGACTTTTGGGCCATTGACCTGGCCTGGAAGGTCAACCAATGACCAAGGACCTTAAAATTGGGTATCATCGACTTCCTCTCGTCACGGGCAACACGCTCATTTTTTTACGCAAAGCTCTAGCTTGATCAGGGGCGAAACGGCAAAGGGGGTCCAACGGACCCCCCCCCCCCCCTTTACGTTCGCGGCTGGAAAAACACCAATACGGGCGAAGGTTAACATCCACCTTGCCGCTAAAGCGGTAGGTGGTAGGTAAATTAAACACCGTAGGTAAATTATCGGCGCTAGCGCGCCACACAACCAATAGGGAAACCACTCCAGGGACAAGAGAGTGGTGATTTGGTAATGAAAAGGACGGTTCAGGTAAATGAAGAGCCATATTTGCTTCGCCATAATCCCACACACGCCGGTATGAGTGATTATCTAGTCAGAGCTTTTGCTTGCTGATTGTGAGGGGTAAGATGGGGATGTCCCCATCTTGCCCCAAAATGGAACTCCCCATCTTACCCCGGCACGTTCACAAAATGTTAAGGACGCCACACACACAAAATTGCACTATTTAGAATAAATAAAAACGCACTGTTGACCACCATATAAATGCACCTTAGTATACAATCATCAAGAGATTACCTTCACTCACACTGAAAACCAGGAACTCGCTTTTCCAGACCCCGTAAATTCCGATCATAAACATACGTTTTCACATCCAAACCCATCAAAAATATTGCAGTGGTCACAGGGCCGCAATAATTTTGTTATTGTCGTTTCTGGTCTAAAGGAAGTAAATAACCCCAGTGATCCCGTTCAGTCGCCTCTGAAATTATGTATTTCAGTACCTCCCGTCATACCCCGCATCCCCGTCTTGCCCCGTCTTCCCCTACATAATCATTCCAAATTGAATAATGATAACAGCATATAGGTAGTCTAGCATCAATTGGATCAGGGCTGGAGATCTCTTGGGATCATTGGGACTCAGAACCTTGGGGCCACAGACTTCCTGAATCCTCTCTATCATAAGATCCTATCCAACAGGCCCCCAAGGACAGTGTGTGCCCTAGATCGGTGTGTGACATTCTCCAAAGGGAATCAGCCCTCTCTAAGCCTGAGATCAGTTCAAGTGCTTTTCCAGGGTGTGGGCCACTGAAATGTGTGATCATGCAAGCTGATTCCCCACAGACTTTGAGAATCCCCAATCCTGTTGGTCCTGAAAGTCAAGGCACTTAACCTCCAGGGCAGAAAGTCAAGACAACAAAAGCCACAAAACAATATCACCTTCAAAAAATGCACAGCACTATCCCCAGAAGAATTAGGATCAGGAAAATATCGGCATGGTACTGTTGATCTGCAGCTTTTACCACATGCCGAGATATCCCTTTAGTATTAGCACGTGATTTTGGGAAAAGCTTTCGGACCGGCTGTCGCTAATGTTGAAGGTATTTGGGAAACGATTTCGGACCGTGGTCATTTTGATTTTCCCAGACAAAGTTTAACTGAATATTCTGAACGGAAGAACCAAATCCAAAGAAGATATTTACGGATTGTGTGTTCACTAACAGCAACAGCAGAAGTGAGCAAAATTAAGTGACGGCGTTTTCACTTAGTTTTGCTGTCAACGTAATTCAACTTAACAAGGGTAGGTATCGTTCCAATGCCAATGTATTTTTTGCTGCAGAACATAGTCAGAGTACCTACTCATTATTACAACATAATGCACGCAAAAAACGAGCACTTTAAATGCGCGAAGCATCTTGACGAGCCACATTGAAACATTTGGATATTGTTCCAGCTGGGATCTAAGACGCGTTTGATTCAGCGTTTCACCCAATTTTCAGTTTTCCTCGCGGTTTCCTCACTCCTGCTGGACTCCATATCTTTATAGTTTATTCTAACTTCTGACGCTTCACCATAATTTCTTCATCCTCAGCTTTTTCAAGCCCTAAATAAGATAAATTCATCTTTCATACTCAACGGCCAGCGCCGCCCAATAATGAAAAACACAAAAAATAATCGCGGTGACTATAAATATGAACATAGTATTAATAGATTATTAACACCATATTAAGAATATAATATATAATACCAAATGAATATGATATTAACTGTTGCGCTGGTACGGCATGTGGTAAATATCTTCCCAACCTTGGGCTGTGAAAATGCAGTTTTATTCACCTCGGTTTTTGGCTACGGACCTCGTGCCTACCGGCACTCGGTCCTCCGCACAAAAACCTCGGTGAATAAAACGCATTTTCCCAGCCCCGGTCGGGAATATATAATCCCAGAGTAGCAAAAGATGCCACAGACTGTACCTACCTTATGTGACAGCGCAAATATTTACTTTAGGACTGACACACTTTTCAAAGGTAAATTTTACACATCCTAAATCCAGATATGATGGTTACATGGCACCAAAATGTTAAAAAAGAAACATAATGTCACCTAACCTGACCTACTGACTTTTGCCTTCCCATGGACAAGTAATAATTTACTCACATGAATAGATTGCAAGCAATGGTAAGTCAAAGTGGTTGTAAGTCAAAAAGTAGGTTAAGTGGTTGGGCTTCAGGCAGTCAAATTATGTGATGTGATATGCTTTTTACTATTACTTGGGCTTCGCAATGAAACTTACGGTTGTCAGTCCTTAGGAAAATAAATACAGTGGCGCAGCCAGGGGGGGTGAAAGGGGTGAGATCTCACCCCCGTCTCTTATCCTAGGGGCCCCACCGTCGATTCGAACTGTAACGTTATGCAGCCTGGCAATTTTTTATCACTAATGTCAAGGTTCGTCATAGGACTGAAAAACAGTTTTCAGGCCTGATAGCCCCCCTTTAGGATTTATAGTCCCATTTTATGATTTAAGGGGGTGCATCCAAGGCCTAGGAGGGCCCGTTCCATGACATGAGAGGGCCACTTCAGGCCTGAGAGGGCCCATTTCAGGCCTGTGAGGGCCCATTTCAGGCCTGAAGGGGCCCAGTTGAAGCTTGAGAGGGCCCATTTCAGGCCCTAGAGGGGCCTGTTTGAGGCTTGAGAGGGGCCCATTTCAGGCCTGAGAGGGCCCATTTGATGCCTGTGAGGGCCCATTTCAGGCCTGAAGGGGTCCATTTCAGGCCCTAGAGGGCATGTTTGAGGCCTGATAGGGCCCATTTCATGCCTGAGAGGGGCCCATTTCAGGCCTGAGAGGGGCCATTTCAGGCCTGAGGGGGCCCATTTCAAGCTTGAAAGGGCCCATTTCATGCCCTAGAGGGCCTGTTTAAGGCCAGAGAGGGCCCGTTTGAGGCCAGAGAGGGCCCGTTTGAGGCCTGAGAGGGGCCCATTTCAGGCATAAGAGGCACCATTTCAGACCTGAGATGGCCCAGTTACGGTATGAGGGGCCCTTTTTTGGACATGCTAGGGACCATTTCCGGGCTGAGGGGGCCCATTTCAGGTCTGAGAGGGCCCATTTCAGATCTGAGAGGGCTAATGTCAGGCCTGAGAGGGCCCATTTCAGGCCCTTGAGGTCCTATTTGAGGCCTGAGAGGGGCCCATTTCAGGTCTGAGAGGGCTAATGTCAGGCCTGAGAGGGCCCATTTCAGGCCCTAGAGGACCTATTTGAGGCCTGAGAGGGTCCACTTCAGCCCTGAGACTCATCCCAGGAATGAAATGATCATCCTATGTGTGGGAGGGTCCGTACTCCGTGCCTGGTCTGGGTCTGAGAGGGCCTATCCCAATCCTGATTGAGCCGATATCATGTTTGATATAGGTCAACTCACCACTCCACATGTATATTGATGGCCCAGTTCATGTCTAATGGGCCCATCTCAAGACTCAGAGATTTTATGCTTCAGGAACTAGGAAGCAAGCATACCCCAAGCGTGAGGGGGCCCATAGAGGTTTTTGAGGCTCATGGAGGTCCCGCGGTACGATATGTCAGCCTCTGAGAAGGCCATGCAGGGCCCTTAAGATGCCAAGCCGACATCTGAAAATTCCTCTTCTCTTCAGGCCTGTGCCTGCCTCACCGCCCGGCCCCACCCTGACGTCTAGGGGTTTGACGCCTAGGTATTCATCAGGACTCCACACCGGTCCATGATGGCTCCAAACTGACATCTGAGGCTCCTGCACCGCCTTTTGAGGGGCCCATCGACCTCTGATAGCCACCACGCAGGTCTCAAAAGACCATGTCGATTGTTGATAGCTAACCCCCCAAGTCTTGGAAGGCCTGTGCTCTATGCAGATTCTTGAGGGCTTTACGTGGGCTTGTAAACATCCCGAGCTGGCTCTAGCCTAGCTCGACCGCGCCCCGCAGAGCAGGGCCCCAGGCTTTCCAGTTTTACGCCCCTGAGGGGTGTTTGAATATTCCCTTCTAACCTGACTCCAGGGTCACGTAGCGACAAGTGCGGCGGTAGGCGGCTTTCTAAAGAGCGTCGAAAATCATGGAGAAATTACTTCAGTCATGTTGCAGTTCAGACCAAAGCCCACGTCATCATGTTCATCGAAGGAAAAGTTTCGCCTATTTCGACACTCGAGGACATATAAAGCTATAGCGCGCTGCAAGTGGGTTCGATAGCTCTCTATACGCGTGCAATCAGCCATGGGCGGGGGGGGGCGTATCGGCCAAACCCGTCGACCCGATCATAATTTAAGAAGGCTAGAAAGACGAGAAAAGCAACATATAGCTGTAGGATGCTTCAGAATCGTAGAGGTCATTTTTCGATTAGGTCATCGCTGAGGTCATCGAAGATGAAATTATGATAAAATTATGATAAACACAAAGACAAGATTACGACGAAAAAATTCTAGTTTTTATATTTTCACAAATAACCGTATAACTCGTGAACCAAAGAGCTAGAGCTTCGCGGAACAACTCATTCGATAGGCCTTTCAAAACGCTGTCGCTTTTAAAGGGACAGTATCATCGAAAAAAAAATCAATGTATGGAGCTGATTTTTTTTTTACTAGCATTTCTTGTTTTTCTGAATCAGAAAAACATAGTTTGAGGACCGAACTCGGTGAAAAATATTGCAACCACATTTCATTTTCATGATTCATTTTCATGAGCGAACCACCACTATACAAGCATGGCCGCCAGTTTGGAAGCATGCAAAATTACTACAGAACTGGCGCAGATAATACATTATTGACGCTACGCTTACGCGGTCGTTCTTCTGATTGAGTTGTCCTTACGGAGAGGTAGCCTTAGGTATTTGTAGCGTGTCGCACTCACTTGTATTTGCTTCCCGATCAAGATAACACTTCAGTACAGGTGCCGCACTCTCTGCGCTCGGCTCCGATCACACACTGCCCTGCGACCGGTCAGCGACCTCCGCCGGCAGGCAGATAGGCCCGCCCTCTACGATCGAACACCGAAAGTTGCAGTTCTTACTCTTAACACTAGTTGAACGCCTACATATTGCCTATAAAAATATCACGTGACAATTGGAGGGAGTGACAATTGGACGTGACAATTGACAATGGGAGAAAATATCACGTGACAATCACGTGATAAACGTCATACATTGGAGGGAGATTGTGATTCAAGCTGGAGGAATTCCTTTGTTGAGCCGCTAGAATCCGAAGGAAACAGCGGAAATTGCCTACGACTATTTAATGAATTTAACGGTGATGAATAAGTGCGAAAAACGTTTTGGCTTTATAAAATTTGATGAAATGACCAGGGTAAAAGTTTTATTACTGGCGGTCAATTCAAAACGGCGCAAACATTTAAAAAGTGAAGATAGTGAAGCACGATTCAGCACGATTCAAAGTGTGGTACACCTTTCGTACTTTGAGCGGCGATAGCGGGATAACGGTGTGGAGCTTCGAGGATCGGTCTTCAGTTCCCGGACCAGAAAGGTGGGGCCTATGCAATGTCAAATTTCATCAAAATGGTGATACTGTCCCTTTAACATTTGACCTCAATGCCGGTCCCGTAGCTCAGTTGGTAGAGCGTTGGACTCCGCGTGGTGAGAGCACGCGTTCCCGGTTATAACAGCCCGGGTTCGAAGCGCGACGGGCGCTTGACATTTATGGGCCTCCTGACAGGTATGGTTGCGGTTGGTGGCAGGCCGTAGCCAGGCGAAGTCAGTGAGGGGACCGGCCGTGCGCGGCTATGTGCGCACGTTAAACTTTGGACTCTAAATTCTGCCATAGAACTAGAATTGCGCGATCGGAGGGTAGAGGGCAGGGTCACCGCAACAAGCTACGCTTAGCCGTGGCCCTGTCCTTGGGAATCATTCCTATCAAAAGGTTCGGACTAAATTTATAAAAAATTAAATTTAAAAAAATAAAAAATTAAAAAATTAAATGCCTCATGTCAATGGTTTGGCTACAGAGCAGAGGGCAAAACCATCTAAATAGTCGCATTTTACCAAAATAGTTTTGCTAAAAACTTTTGCAAGAACTTTGGTGAGAAAAATAATGAGACATTTACTTTGTCATCATTCTCTCGTTAACATGCATCGAATGTTAACACCTATAATTTCACATAAAAAGTTCAACTTCAAAATGTGACCGCAGATCAAGGTCATGCCCTTACCTACTTGAGAAGTTCATGATGGTCATCAACTCATCCGTATGTATGATCTAATACCTTCAAGACAATTTCATTACTCTACCTCGTCTCCTATATCAAAAGTAATAGTCGAAAAACTGATGTTGAGCTTTTTTAAAAGCTTTTTGACCTAACCCGACCATTTGAGTGGCCGCTGGCCATCAATTGCACGCTGTCCGTCAAATATGGGCAGAATGGTCGTGTTTCTGTAAATATGCTGTTGTTTTTTACGTGCCTCTTCAGATCAAGAGATATTTGTCCTTTTCCCCGATTTGGCTGGTAATGATCAGGACAATGATCTGAACTTTCGTTGTTGGTAAGGGACCCCCATTAGGTTGAGGGGGGCCCACTTTGCTGGGGGGGCCCATCGCGAACGTCTCTCACCCCCGTCGCCAGAGTTCTGGCTGCGCCACTGAATAAATACCATGTGACAATTGGAAAATCAGGAATGTGATGGTGAAAGCCGGGGACGATGCCTTCGGATTAAGTGGGTACCTACCTACTAGGTGCTTTGCGTTACATTACAGACAACCCCTAAATAAATTTGATTCTGATAATTACAATTTATCAAAACTATAAGAACCAGCATGAGAACCAACCAGCACACATAAGACTTAAAATTGACAAAAGATTCCGAATGAACAAGTTTGAATTTTGAGCACTTACATTACCAAAAACTGTTGGGTTTTGACAGAGAAGTGTTGAACATATAAAATGCTATCAGCTTTTGATACTATCCTGGCCTCTGAACGTCTAGAATAATTGAAATTATCAATAAAATACGACGCAAACGGCACAAAGAACGAAAACAAATCGTTTGCGACGAAATAGGCGCACAAAAGATATTGTCGCTATACGACATTCAGGGGTGAAACACACACTTATATCACAAAAAACTTACATTGTGTGAAGAAATGGAGGATGACGAAAGTGTAGCTGTTCCAAAAATTGGTAAACGAAAAATCCGCGAGCGACGACACCCGCGAGCCCACCGAGCACTCGGCAGTAAACAGCTGCGGGGTCTATCGATTATGTTCAGTGCTGTCGATAGTGTAGATACTTCGTCTCTTTCTTTCGGTATGCTTTGACAGACAAGATTCTAATAAATTATTTCATTGCTAAAACACACATATTTAATTTTGTTTCAAAGCATTATTCAGAATAAGAAGAAATTACCAAAGACCTATCGATAGTTGCATCGATAACGATTGTATTGTCAGCGTTTACCAGCACTAGAATGGTGTCACTACTTCATCCGGGAGTCCTATGAATCAATATCGTACATTTTTTCGGGCGTATTATTATTGTAGGCTAGGAAAAAATCGCCTTACATCCCTCCAAGAATCGGGATCTTGGATTACGGCTGAGTGAACTGCATCGGGCTGTGTGCACCACAGTCACACGGCTACATCGAAAGTCCAGGCCGGCAGACGGCAGTGGCGCGGGAAGGGGATGGGTTGAGGGGCTGAAAATCCCTCCCAGTGTCCATTGACGCCTTGGGTGTGCCCTCTCCTCACATGACTGTTTTCACTAGCGAGGGTCGAGGGGTGATGCCCTAAACCCTCTCTTTCCGCAGTGCCGGTGCCCCTCCCCGCCCCGACCCCTCCCTGGCCGCCAGGTGCACCCCCCCCCCCCCCGACCTCTACCGCGGTCCCCGTCCATATCCCTGTCAAGGCCCCTGTGCTCACTGCTCATGTACGAGAATCCTTGCTGAGCAGGGCATATCGTATGAGTCCTGACAAGTGACAGCTGACACCTATACCCACACATTACATAGGCGGCGGAACGGGGAGGGCACCGGGGCACCGTGCAAGCCAGTGCAAGCCCCCCTTTGCTTTTAGCATTTTAACATTAGCCCTATGGGCGTTGCATGAAAAGAGTGGGACCAAAAGTCGGCAGTGCCCCCCCCCCCTTAATTGAAGGTGTTCCGCCGCTACTGCCACACAAAGGGCCAAGCAAAGGGCTATCCTACACTGACACGGGAAAATCCACAGATTCTGGCTCCACCGTCAGATAGGTGTCGAACCGCGAGCGTTTAACGTGCAAACATAGTCGGGCACGACCGGACCCGCTCATCGACTTCACCCAATGCATTGTAGCCACTGCCACTGACTGCAGGGTGCAGCTATGTCGGATGCAAGGCCAGAGCGCCGGGCGAAGTCACGGCTCGAACTGAGTTTTTGGCACCATATATCGACCGCGCCGTTTGGCTCAGGATGGGATGGGCCGAAACGGACACTTTTCTTGCTGGCTGGGCTGTCATTCTTAACACTCTGAATCAAACCAGGACGGTTCCAAGAAGTAAGAAAGTACATGGGTGGAGCTTTTCCAGGGAAGTTGGTGGGGCAAAAAGTCGTCAAACCCACAATGTCCGATTATAAAGTTGAATAAAATGCCACACTGAATCAATTCCTATCATTACAGACATATTATTTTGCATCAAACAGACATTCCAAAGCTATTCAATGCGAAAAAAGATTAATTTGCAAAGCAATCAAGTCTTAGAAATCAGCTCAAGTTGGTGGGGCAAACCGCTTATTGGTGGGGCAAAATACCAAGTTGGTGGGGCAGCCGCCCCACCAACTGTATAGGAAGCTCCGCCCCTGAGAAAGTATATTAATTTACACATACAACAATCGAATAGACATCAAATTCGAGCGTCAATCAAATGTCTGCCCACTGAGACGAAAATCACATTGAAACCGCACCAGCGACGGCTTCCATTGAGTCCGTATTCCACCCTGCTCAACGCATTGTCCATTCTGTCGCCTATATATTGTCAGAGACGTCCACCGCCCACAGAGTAGCTCCTCAGTTCCTTGGCAGCGAACATTCCCAGATCCTGCGCTCCTCAGCTGCTCGCCGGCCGCCCGTCTCCGACCTCTGCCGCCTCCAACTCCCGGCAGCACTGCAGGTAGCTCGCTAGACTGCCGACGTCGTAGCGCGACGGAGCCGGGTGCGCCACGACTCGTTCCCGCTGCGCTAGGTCTGCCACCAGCAGACCGGTGGCGTCCCGCTCGGCTAGAGAAGGGTGGTGCGCCAGGTAGGACGTCAGGTGCGACAGACTTGCAGCCGGAATGAAGTAGAAACACGGACACTGCCGAAACACCGGAGAATAAAGGTTAGAATACGGAGGGTTACATACCGTATGTAACGGCTATCGGTAGGTGGGAGCCCTCACGGCTGGCGCTGGTTGCAACCATCGTGATAGGTTATCTACCTGACAAAAATAAACGTAAAATAATTAGGACGGACTGTTTTGCAGTGCGCTTACATACTAGGAGCTTTTTTTGCAAAATTTCCGAATGCGAGTAATCAGTACGGTCTCGGTCATGGGTCACAACACCACTGCCAACTACACAATCCGCTACCTGCCGTTCAGCACTGAAACCCTACAGTTGAACTATGACGGGTCGATCTTCAACCATCACCTGCAGTCGGGAACTGGTCTCGCTGGGCTGCGGCTTCTCCTTGAAGCCGACGATGCGGCGTGTCTCGTCGATCTCGATGATGCCGCGTCGGCTGACCTCCTCCGTCGGACAGGGCACGGAGACCACGTGACAGGAGCGAGGGTCGGCCGTCAGCTCCCGGTGCACCGCCGATAGGAACTCGGAGAGACGGAACTCGGCCGGAAACAGTGTGTCCCTGAGAAACGGAACAGCATGGGTTACCGACACGTTCACACAAGGGGACACGGTAACGGTGTGATAAGAGCTTGGGGGGACACGGACTGTAAGACGACTACAGTGAACACTAACAGTGCTCACCCACAGCGTTGGTTCGCATGGTTTCGGGTTGCCCGGCTGCGAGCAGTTCCATAAGTATGTGAATGCTGAACTGGATTGTCCTAATACGACAATCCAATTCAGCAACTCAATAATTAAGGATCTTTTAAAAGTTCACATGAACCAGGACTGCTTACCGGAAGAAGTGTGTACCAGCACCAACCGTCTATTACGTGTAAGACACGGTGTCGATGTGTGGTGGTTTGTTAAAATGTGTTAACTGTTTATCTCATTCCTTCGTGATAGATGGGGTCAATGGGAACGTCTGTCGCAGCGCGTGAAATAGGTTACATGTCCTTGCCCTGAATAGCTTCTCGTGACAGCTGTCCTGCAATCATCACGTCGCCGGTCGCCATGCTTACGTTACGCTGAATGCGCGTCTTCAGTACGCCACATGCATGGGGATAGAACTCAAGTCAAGCACAATTCGATGCCTAACTACTTCCCCGTAAGTTATATATCTTTTTTTCTGCCGTTTTCCTTAGGCTGCATCGATTTCTCTACCCATTGCACGGGAGCATAACGTTAGGTAGGTTAACCGTTTCGGGCGCTCCCGCCTACACTAGCCCCTGACTGCGCCCCTGCCTAACAAAACTAAACATGTGGTCCAGTCGTCGCCTGGGAGACCCCCTCCCCAGCTCCCCCTCCTCGTCAATGTCTCGGATTACTAGCAGTGAGGATCATAGAGTACGATTGTCAGTGTTGAGCGCGGAGGCACGTCGGTCACAGGGGAGGCGGCACCGGGCCTGAGCACGTGGGGCAACGTGACAACACGACTAGGGAAGGTGAACAAGGAAGAGAGTGCAACTGTGGATCCCCAGCAGTGAGCGAACTCGAAGTGGCCAGCGTCTGTGAGTGTTGAGTCAGTGATCTTTGATCCACGGTCTTCACATTTCCAATCGGCAGTCAACACTGAAAAGTGTGAACGAGTGAGCAGCCACCTCGGCGACCGCACAGCTCGATACCCTTGCAATCGCTGAGCCGCCATGTCTGACGGCGCCGCCGGTCAGTCGGAGCCGGCCGTGGTCATCCGCCCCGCAGTGGTGACCGACTGCGTCCAGCTGCACGCCAACCTGGAAGCCATCAACCTCTTCGAGAAGCGCGACATGACGCTGCCACAGCTGAGCGTGGCGGACCTGGAGCGGGACGGGTTCGGTCCGGAGCGCGTGTTCTGGGCGCTGGTAGCGGACCGGGGCGGCGAGCTGATCGGACACGCCATCTACACACTCAACTGGGCCGGCTACGACGGCATCGGCCGCTGCCTGTTCCTGGCTGATTTATTTGTGCGCGAGTCGGCGCGTCGATGGGTGTCGGGCGGCGCCTGATGCGCGCGCTGGCCGCCGCCGCCGTCCGCCGCGGAGCGCCGCACATTGACTTCACAGTGTACGGGTGGAACGAGCCGGCGCTGCGGTTTTACCGCAGCCTGGGCGGCCGCTCTGCGACCGATAACGATCAGCTGACCTGCTACTACTGCGACCGGGCCGCCGTGCGCCGGCTGGCTGCAGAGCACGAGGAACAGGAGGTGCCCGCCGCGGACAGCGCTGCGGCACACTGATTGTAACGGAGACAGGGGTCCGATTCTGCGGATACCCGACAGTCGATACGGGTGTGGTGCTCGGGCGTCAGTGTGACGCCCTTTTATCTCTACCACTGCACAGTATTTGTGAGCGACTTAGAATACAACGATTACGGTCTTCATTTTGACAATGGAAATGAAATGTACCTAGATATTTTTACGTCTGGTAACCGCTAGCACCTCTGCAGCTCAAATTTATCACCGGGTATTTTAAACGTTAATCTTAACCTGGAACATGCATTTGAACCCTTTATACGTAACTACTGCGTTATCGTCAGATTCGTATTTCGTATGCCTATTGCACTACGGCTGGACTTCATGGGCTCATTGGTGAGTCAGTCCACTGAACTGACCGGACAGGGCCAGCCTTTGCCCCCACATGTGTCTGAAATAGTTCGCTTGATAAACTCACGCTTGACGAACTCACCCTCCGATGAACAGCACGTCGCTGGCCGTGTTGTCGCCCACTCCGAGCGCCATGCACGCGATGGCGCCCGGCCGCGACTCGTTACTCGAGGCGCCGTCACAGACCAGGTTGACCTTGAAACTGGTGGCCAGGCCGTCTCGCCAGCGCTCGAACCGGGCCCGGTTGGCGGCGTTCACAACGACCACCACCTCGTCCACGGGCACGGGCTCCTTCAGCCGGCCCAGCTCCTCCAGGGCAGCTATCCAGTGGCTCGCTAGTGGCGCCCCCGC